CTCACTGGACACGTTTACTATATATAGAATGCACTTCAAAGGCTCTAGAATGATTCTGTACTTACATACTAATTACATTGCTATTTTGCCATTTGCAAGGTTCACTGCTCCTCTATATCTGCCTGTAACCTCAGTCTCTAGCCACTGAAACCACCTTTCTAAGATTCCTTATCAAAAATTACCAGAGACAATTGGTGTATCAGGCCATTAAATACTACACAACAACTGAATTTCAGGTTTTGATTGTTTTGCAATCAGACTTTTTGTGATTTGCCTTAAGAGAAAACTGTGAAGACATACATGTACAACTAATCCCACCAAGAATCCATGGCTTCATGAGCTCAAAGTCCCAGCCAGCTGACTCTTGAAGCTACTTAGCTCATCTTAACTAGTACATGGAAGAAATGCTCTTTAAGACAACTATTGCCTTGGCAATTTCATATCTGCAATATTACAAGAAATGTCATTATCTACAGAGCCAACAACATCCTATGCATCAAATGCTGGAAACACGGAAAAAAGAGACTGTATATAGGAGTGTTATTAGTTATTCACTCATCCTTTAACAGCTTATGAAAAAAAATCGAACTTGACATTTCTTAATGATGGTTAAACAGTCAACTACTGCCCCTCCTTCTCCCTGCCCTGCTTCCAAAAGAAATAGAACAACAGAATGAACCAAATTGTAGCAAGACTTTTTTTCCTGAGGACCATCTTGATTAGAATGACTTGAAAGTAACTACTGAGAAACGGAAACTCACTGCCTCACTAGTAACAGAGGAGCAGACAGATACATAAGATACTCTGCTTTTAGCTAGAAAATGAAAAATGTATTTCTATTTCCTTTATAGACAAGCAGCCCAGTGTGAAATGTTAACAAAGGGAAAGGTATTACATTAGAGTGCTAGAGAGTGACAGAAACAAGAATCTAGTTGAACCTAGGATCAATGGCTTTTGTTAGTTGTTCCTAATCAAAAAAGGAATGTAATGAAATTTTCCTAAAATCGCTTTGGTTCTGAAATTATGCATGAGAAAAGTCAGGAATGGGGACCTGGTACAAGCTTCTCCAGAAGTCCTGTTTTAATCACCTCTGTTCTCTCTGCAAGAGAAGTTTCATCATCTTTCAGCATCTATAGCCCCAATGCTTTTCTGGCACCATGAAAATATATGTTACAATTAGACAGAAGGAAAAATGCATTTATACAGAAGAATAACTAGAGTATTGTACATAATGAAGTTTTTCTTGATTTGCTTTGGGTTATGCTGAAAAGGCCTACTTTGAGGAACAGAATTCTTGCAGCCTCAGGTCTGTCTAGATGAAAGGAACATTTTCTGGCAGCACCATGAGCAAAAGAGTACCTAGTGATCCACCCTAATTTAGGTTATGTAAAACTTAGTGGGTGTAAGCTACACATGCCTTCCGAAGGCAATGCCTGGATTGCACTCTCAGTGATTGGCCTGGCTGCCAGTGCTCTTCTCCTTCCCATGCACCTGTTCTAGTAAAGCTCTGTTGAAGAAAAATTACCTAATGTCACAGAGTGTGACACCATATAAATGCTGTACAATGATCTAAGGTGCCTCAAGCAACCATGGCATTCATTTAGTTGTAGTCAAAATGTATTCTTTTCATTTCAGGCACTTTTTCTGGTGTCATCAACACCAAAATTGTGTTTGCAAATATGGTGTTTGATGTGGAAAAGAATGTGAACACAGAATTTTGAAACAGATGGGAGACTAGTAAGGGCCATGTTACACAGAGCAACCATTGTGCTAGAGGTGCCTAAGCAGGCTCTAAGAGAACAGGCTGGGTTGTTCAGGGAAGAGCAGTGGCATCCACAGACACCTAAACAAGCCCTGACCAGCCCAGCCCCAGAAACTGCAGCAGTGTAGATAAGAAACCTGTGTGCTGGGCAGCAGCAAGGGCAGGGCTACTCTTAAGGGGACAGTGAGCCAGGGCTGAGGGTGACAGGTAGGCAAAGGGAATAACTTACTGACAAGGGGCATATCCCACAATACCCAAAAAACACAAGCAAGGCAGGGCAACAGTTCAGATCATCAGTCAAAGCTGAGCTCAAGCAGGAAAGCCAAGCCCATAGGTCAGAATCAACAGATGCAGGTGTGGCTGCAACATAGCTCAGGTAAGGACCAAGCACAAGAAGTGCATCCTAAAAGATGGTGACAGTGTGGGAAGCACCTGGCTACTTCCAGCTTTCTGCTGGATGGTTGCAAGGCCAGCAGGCATTGAGGCCCTAAGCTGCTGGAGGCCTGGAGCGCCCCTAAGACAGATGTCTGCATTATCTAATTAAGCAGCCAAATCTCCAGGAGAGAGAGGAATGCAATGAGGGCACTGGCAGTATCCCACCTGACTTGGCAACGGAGTGGTATGCTCTGCCATTTTGACACAGCAGGCTGTTTTATTACAGTGGAATTGTAGCACCTCCTGTAGTGGACTTGAAGCAAAAAAAAATTGGATTCAGTTCCTTGCTCCACTGAATGATGGTGTAAGATCCCAAAGGAGAAAAAACATGAGCTATGTTGTCTTCTTTGCCACGCAGAGACTACTGTTCTTCATTCAGAGTCCTACTAGCTGCAGTTTTGTGACTTAGTCCTAAATAATGCAATTCCTATCAGATTATTATGTTTGAAAAATATCCCAAGAATATTGATTGATTGCTATACTACAGTCCTTGCTGCTCAGGATTGCTGGCAGTGCCTCCACTCCAGCATGTGTCCAGCAAGAGCTGGCAGGTGCAGGGTACCTGCAGAGGAGGTACCTGGCAAGGACACAACATGTTTTAGTGGGACTGAGAGAGTTACTTTTGGGAGGGAGCTGCCAGTAAAGGACAAGGTTTCAGTGGCTGCATTTCCCACTTTACACTGTTTCGGCAGAGCATTGCCTGACATACCAAGTGCATGTTACAGACCTTCTGGAACAATTTTTCAGAAAATCAGTAAGACAGTTTGACACAAATTAGAAGATCTGGATTGCACTGGATGCCAGCAACCAGTGAGAAATTGAAATATTTGGTGCAAGTCATCGCACTTTTTTGTGACTCAATTCTCACTCTCAACAAGGGAATTTGTGCCTTTATGAAAGTGCTTTGATCTTCCAACCATGGGCACTGTATCATTTCTCAGACTCTGTATTAAATAATGATCTCTGGAAACAGACAACAGGGCAAGAAGAAGTACATCAAACAGCCAGAAGCACAGGCAGTCCCAGCTACCTACCACAATTACTCATATTAGATGGAAGAAAACCAAACCAGAAGTGGTGACCACAACACACTGCAGCTGGTCCTCCATCCATGCAGTGCAGTTCACTGCAAAGGTTTCAGAGATCCTGCCTTTTTCTTGTTGCACATGTTAACATCAGTTCTTTCCATGCTTCAGGCTAATCTCTGGACTAAATCCACGCAATTCTCTAACACGCTTACACTGCATCCCTTGCTGCCTTTGTCATGCACTTTTGGAAGCCTAAGTTGCACATGCCAATGAACTCCTTCCTTCTTCACTGTTTTTTCTTTTCTTCAAAAATTTGGCATCACTGCTGGGGATTTTTATCTGTAGAAGTGATATAGAGAAAATGATGATTATTTCAGCTTTGATTTTCCAGGAGTGGTTCATCTGCTATTTCTGCTGAGGCATTCAATGTATAGATTTGCAGGTGGCATTTCAAAAAAAATTCTCCAAATCAGAAATTACTGTTCATATGGGAGACAGTATGTGATGACAATTTCTGGTACTCAGAGAATAGGAGACCTAATTTTACACATTCTTAAGGATGTTCAGCTACAGCATAGCTGGAGTATCAAGTATCTGAGACTAGCACTGGGGTCTATCACTTCTTTCTGATACTTCTGGAGGGAAAAGCTTTTACAAAGTTGGGAACTTGGTAAGTGGTATTACTTTTCTTCAACTTCTAATCCAAAGCCTCTTACTGAGAATTTGTGTAAGTCCATTATTAAGTGCACTGAGAACTAGAGTCACTGTTCTCAGAAAGCATGACTAGTAAATACGTAACAAGCAACTTTATCCTTTTCTAACTATAGAAGCAACTGTTTCACTGTACCAGGGAGCTGAATGGAAATTAACAACCACTGTAGACAGTACCTTACTTCCAGGGGAAGTCTCATCTTAGGTGGTTTCGAACTGGCACCCCACCAACTGTGGTTTTGTTTTTCAATGTCAAAAAATGTAACAACATAGATGTAGGCACAGATTATTATTATTTTTATTGCTCTTGTTAAAAAGTCAGTGTATGAACTACGGCACTATGCTGTAAAAACGCAACATTACTGAGTGATCTAACAATATGAGGTCCATTATGACAAGATTTTAAACATGAAGCATAAGCTTCACTGTGGATTTCCAAATAAAGAAAACAAGCTTAAGAGGTAAATGGATTAATAGCAACTGATGTATGGGGAATTTCAATAATAAGTGAATACAAAGTGGACTTGCAAAAACCAAACATATAAAAATCATGTACTGAGTGAATCTCCACTATAATAAAACACAGTGCCTATTAACTCAGTGCTTAGAGACTGAAAAAATCTATGGCAATATTCCTAATTCTGAAGCAAACCCAAACAACAGCATACCCATGGGTATTATTGCACAGTGTTGCTTTAACTGGCTTGGAAACTACTTTTGCATTAAGGAAAGTGAGACTTATTTTTTTAGATATGTAATCTTACTTGAAAGATGCATTGCAAAAAAGAATGGTGTCCTAATTAGAACTTCTATACTCTTTATGAAATGGTTTAGGCTTATCTGGCACATGAAGCTCTTGAAATGACTCCATTTCTTCAGAAATAGTCTTTACATTTCTCAGAAGATGAGTGGGCATACACTAGCAAATAAGCGGAAAAAAATTACAGTGGACATTAGTTTCCCAGTAAAAAGATGCCTTATATCACACAGCAGATCAGAAATAAATAAGATGAAATTTGAGGAGTCTGAATATAAACCCTTGAATGATGCCAAGAGTCACAGGCTTCACCAAATTAATGTCAGTATATTTTGTTAAGAATAATGCAGTTACTATATACAGTATGTTTAGCAGATAATGCTAACTAACAATACACTAAATTAATAGTAGTTAAACAAGAAATATACTAAACCAACATACTTAAAAAAGGAAGGCAACCCCCAGTTATGCATAGTTACATATGATAATGTCCAGCTCCCGGGAGTCCAATGGATTGACACCTTCAAGTATCAGGAAGCAGTTTTCTGAGGTGTAAACAACATAATTAACAGAACCCAGCCAAACTGTAGGGGAATTACACTGTCAAAAATCTCAAGTCCAACTACAAATCACCTGTAAATGTTACCACTGCATAGCTGCAATGGGGCAGTCATACATTCAAAGGTTTCACACTGACATATTTCTTCAAAACACCTTCTAAAGGATGTGCTATTTAACATGGTGGTGATTCAGACACCGTTCAAACAAACATGCGACAAACCCAAAGCACTTAGGTTTAGAAGAACTTATTCAAGAATCCATACTGTATTTACAGTGTATTGTGTATGACTGCACACACTAATAAGTTTCTCCTGTTTACTATTTCTTATGTGGCATCTCACTCTTCATAGTATTTCTACATACTAAGAAGAGCCTTTTCCCCACAAAACCAGCTTCTCTGATATGGAAATCCACCATGCCCCCATCTCGCTTTGCCACAGTAAGGAGTGTACAAAGAACACGACAATGTCAAATCCCCTTGGATCATGACAAAATGACTCAGTTCTTCCCTTTGTTTCTTGCTCAGCTTCTCTGCTCCCTTACAACTGTGCAAATCAGTCAGCCTCCAGTTCTTGTCCAGTAAGTAGAGGCTTCCCATCTGTATCACCCATCTTTTTTCGCATCTCTTCCACAGCTTTCAGCAGAGCTGCTCGCTCCTGCTCAAGAGTGAGAATGGACTGCTTCAGTTTGCCTTCATTGGTCAATAAAAGCTCTACTGTAGCTTCAAGGTTTTGGATTTTTCCATTAGCCACCTATCAAAGTACAAAGATAGGAGGGGGAAAAAAAGGTAGATTCATTAATGACTGAAACCATCTTTAAACTATTGAGATACATGAATATACATATAAAATACATTAGAAATTATGGAAAATTTAACTGAGAATATAATGCAAACTAATTAAATTAGAAAGTTACCGAATCTGCAAATTTTATACCACAGAACTGCAGGTTAAGATAAGCTTCTGTATGGGTCAATTGGGAGATATTTTTGGCCAGCTACGCTTGTTGCTTTGCAAAACAAAGACAATTCAACATGTTAGCTGCGTCCTCATTTCATCTCAGCATTGTGTCCAACAAATACCAGGTTTGAAGGGAAAGGAGAAGAGGATTTAGAACAATATGCAAATGGAAAATGCATTGTGAAAAATTTCAAAAATTCTCCCTCAAAAGGTTGCACATACTGACGTTTTACTTCATGGTGAAACAAAGTATTGTTCAAACTCATCATGTGAGATCTGTAGGTACTTTGACAACATCAGATATCTGGATAACAGCACTGGATAACATTTGGAGACAAGAGTATGGGGTGGTCTTGGCTTTCAGGAAAGTATTTGCCTTTTTGATGAGCTCACTACCCATCATGCAATTGTGATGGGTTAAAAAGTTCAGCCTTTAGGGACAAAACACTGACAAATTATATTGACCCACATTATCTAGTGATGCATTTTCCTCCTATCAGCAATAGGTCAATGTGCTGGTTACACCTGGGGGAGGGGGTAACTTATGAAACAAAGTCTGATGAAGCCCATCTCCAAGACAAAGGGATTGCTTCAACGCTACAGTGTTGAATAGTTAAGTTCCCTGCTGTGATTCTAGCTGCTGACTTGCCAGCATTCAAGAAGAGATGAGCTTTGTAATAAGCTGCCTAAGGCTGTCAAGTCTATAGGGACAGGAGCAGATGGAAGATCACAGAATGACAGAGTGGATAAGGTTGGAAGGGATCACTGGAGGTTATCTAGTTGCAACCTCCTCGCTCAACCACGGTTCCCTAGAGCACATCACTCAGGATCGTGTCCTGACAGCTTTTGAATATCTTCAGTGAGGGAGACTCCACAGCCTCTCTGGGCCACCTGTGCTAAGTGCTCAGTCAAGCACATTGTAAAGTTCTTTCTCATGTTCAGGTGGAACTTCCTATGCATCAGTTTCTGCTTGTTCCCTCTCTTCCTACTGCTCTGAACCTTTCAGTGGAACCTGGCTCCATCCACTTCACACCTTCTCTTCATATACTGATGACCTGCTCCAGGAGCTCCAGCTCTTCCTGTCTCAGGAGCTGGACACAGCACTCCAGATGTGGCCTCACCAGGGCTGAGTAGAGGGGAAGGATCACCTCCCTCCACCTGCTGGCAATGTTCTCCCTAATGCCCCTCAGGATCCCACTGGCCTTCTTGGCCCCCAGGACACACTGCTAGCCCATGAACAGCTTGTTGTCCACCAGGACCCCCGGGTCCTTCTCCACAGAGCTGCTTCCCAGCAGGTCAGCCCCAGGCTGTGCTGGTGCCCAGGGTTATTCCTCCCCAGCTGCAGGACCCTGCACTTGCCCTTGTTGAATTTCAAATTGTTCTTCTCTGCCCATCTCTCCAGCCTGTCGAGGCCCTTCTGAAGGGCTCACAGAACTCTGGGGTATTGGCTGCTCCTCCCAGCTTTGTGTCATCAGTAAACTCGCTGAGGAGGCATCTGCCCTTTCATCCAAGTCCTCGATGAGTAAGATAAATAATACTGGGCCTAGCGTTGAACCTTGTGCAACACTGCTAGTCACAGGCCTCCAACTAGACTCTGTGTCACTGATCACAACCCTTTGAGACCTGTCATTCAGCCAGTTTTCAATCTAGCACACAGTCCACTGTCCAGCCCACATTTTCAGAGCTTAAGATCCTTGACACAGGTATTTATAGGACATCATATCTTGAATATAATCCCAGAAATCTATCTTCCTCTATCTTCCTCTTATTATATTCAACAATTTCCTTGTCCATTTTGCCAAAAGCTTCATGAAAATATCTTGCAGAAGAGTACCTCTCCTTCTGACTTCTCTAAGGCTCAACCTAGAACCTAAAACAGGATCAGCCCTCACAGGATGAGGACGTACAGCTGAAGCAAAGTTTTGTTAGGAGGGGCATTCTAAATCTCTGCATCATTGACTAGCTTTAGTCAGGATAAAGAACCAATGTCTAAGAAAGCTAAACTTCCCTCACCAATTATCTTACAACGTTTATGTCTTTAACATAATCAAGAGTTATGAAATGTCTGTTTCTTACCCTTGAAGTCCCTTTGTCCATCAAACTAAATGCACAGTCAAAAGTTTTATAGCAAACATCCTGTTATAAAGTAGCCAGAAAGCTGACTTCTCGCTCAGATAAACAAATAGCCCCCTACACAGAACAGATGCACTGTCTCTGAAAAAGCTGCAGACTGAACAGGCATTGAGCATATATTAGGAATTATTATTTCACATAATGTTTAAACAATCTGGATAACACTTAAAAAATGTAATAGCAAGTATGTCTTTATAGACAATGTATCCTTTCTCTAACATATCCCTAAATTGTGACATTGCAATTAGTTCAGCCATTTTTGACTGCTGTAATAAAGCAGTGACTGAAAATGTAAAAATGAAGTTGAAAAAGCATTTTAGTTATTTTCTACAGATATGATTTAAATTACAAGAGAAAAGGCAGTGTGTTGAATCAGCTTTTCACTAACTACAAGTATATGTTCTAAATACCCCTCTCTCAGAATTTCTTCTGCATGTAAACTTTGAGGGCTAAAAACTAAATAAAACTTAAGTAGCTACATTTTAAATTCACTAGACCAAACATCAATCTTTCCTGTGATGTGGTGTAAGACAGTCTCTTCTGAAAAGGTATACAAATTAGAAAATTAGAATGTTAATCATAAATTGTACCTGCAGTTCTTCCAGGAGATCAAAGTTTTGTTTGCGCAAGCTACTGTTTGCCTTTTCTAATTTATCCAGTCTCTGATTGTCATTTAAAGATGAATCTATAAGTTCATCCTGAAGCACATGATATTCAACCTCATAAGCTTGCAACTGTTTGGCAATGTCCATTTCAAATACCTGTTGGATATAAAAATATTATTAGGTGCTGTGCAGATCAAAAACATTGCTCTTTCAAGGATTTAAAATCCATTGAACTGGACCTAGACTTAGATATTTAATCAATGCATACAAAAAAAGGTGGTTTTCACATTTCTTATTGTGGAAATGGCAAGCCTGAGGCAGTAGAGAGCAATATATTGGCATTGGATCTACTTAAAAACTTTGCTACTGATTTGCTGCCTGACTTCAGCAAAACTTCTTACACTAAAGGCTTCAAGAGTGTGGACTTTGTAGGGTACTTTCCTTTTCAAACGTAATACATCTCAGTTTGGCATAAACCCTTCTAGTCACATCCTGAATTACTTGTCAGTTCAGAAAAAGCGTGGCCCAAACTCACCTGCCACATGTACAAGCGTAAGGCTAAGTAAAATAAAAGCTTTAAATGAAAAACATCTATCTTTATCATTCTATAGTATTTTTACAGACTGAAAGAAAATGAAATTATCTATCCTTACACTAACACATTTAACAAAACCATTATATAACATCAAAATAGATTTCTATTATTGTTAACTACAAATCACTGAAACAAATGCTCAGACTTGTCCATGAACAATAAAAAACCTTTTTATTTTAAAAGAAAATAAATAAATTGAGATGTAGAGTGACCCAAAGGAAAAAACCTACTATTTTCTTTTCGTTTTTCTACATTTTGGTAAGCATCTGCCTTCAAATTATTCATAACTATGACTCCAATCTTCTCTACAAGCAGTGAAGAAGGCAGTAAATTAAAAGGACAAGTGTGCCAATCACAGAACACAGAAGAAATAAAAGTTGATTTAAAAATGTATTTGAAAAATAGCCCAAGAAGGGAAGTTCCAGAGTCATTCTTTATTTTTAAACCTCTTCGACTTTATTAATTTTGAAAATGAGTCAAATCCCATCTTAAATACCTGTTAAAAATAACAGGAACATTTGCTGATTTTATTTATCTGCTGTGTGTACAAAATTTTAACTGCTGGTTAAAGAAAACATCAGTTTATGAAATGTTTCTGTCAGATGTCCAATAAAAATTATCTTGCACTTAAATAGCACCAGAAACATATATACTGAGCATCTAAGCACAGAAGGCTTAGATTTTAATTCAAGTTTGATTACACATAGGGAATTTTCATTTTCTGTGAATCTGAGCATCTCTGGAGAATACACCCTGTTGAAATGTCAATAAAACAAGCAGTGCAATTCAGCACGGCAGAATGTTAGTTCCTCTCATGACCTCTGCCACTTCTAGCCTCTGTGCTCCTGAGGAGGGAGGGAAATCCCTGCTGTCATAACCAGAGTATCAAATCTGAAAGAAGGGAAACATGAGGCAATAAGAAGTTTGATTTGAAGCCTAGCCAACTGAAGGCATGTTAAGGCACAGAACCAAAGGCCATGCTGCAGACGGATGAGGAGCATGGGGATTAACCCAGGAGCTGTGTATGGACTGTGGGCTGGTCAAACAGCTGTTCTCTCCAAAGGCAGCCCTGACCAAAAGTGGTGGAACTGCTCATCCTTCTACTCACTTCTACCTACCCACTTCAAATTTAGAGCAGCTGGGGTTGCCAGCTGCCTAAACAGAGTATCCCTCCCTCCTTCTGCTCAAAGCACAGAGTTTTCTGGAGGTCAACTAAGCACTGCAAGTCTTTCAGCCTGGCAGGTAACATACAACCCCCTTTGCCCCTTGGAAATTCCTTGCTTTCCTTCCCCTCGCAGAGACTTTCTAGTTCACATCTCCTTCCTTTGATAAGCATTAGGAGCCATATTTCTGGCCCTAATGTGGGCTGTGTCCCCCAGAAGCTTTGCTGCCAGGGCTCAGAGGGAGCCCCTGGCCAGCCCTCTGCAGAGCACTGTGCTGCTGCTCCTGCTTTCTTTATCAACCCATGGGCTTGGATCCCACAGCCCTTGGGGGGTTGTCAGCACCTGCAATTCTGCACAGTACATCTCCCATGTTCTGGACCACAAAAGGCCTTCAGAAAAACGGGCTAAAGCCCATCTTCTATTTGCCTGCTGCAGTTTAGATGCTAAGTGTAAAAACACATAGGGCTTTTAAACAGGCAAGCCTTAATTGAAATAATTTCCAATTTTTCATATTCCATAAGTATCATCTGGAGTTTTCTGCTATCTTAGTAATATTGCATTATTTTCCTTGTCTGCTGTTTAAAAGAATTGTATAAAGGATTCCAAGTTCTGCTGTCTAGAGTCACTACTCACTGCAAGGGTCTACACTGCCCCATGTACACCTGACAGAATTACAAACGTGCTGTTGTTACATACTGGGTCAGCACCATAAAAGCCAGTAGACACAGAGTCGATGTAGGGAGGCTCCAAATTTCATTAAGTAAAGTTAACATTTGTGAGGCTCTGGTAAGTAAATTTTTTCTTCTGATATGAGACTTGGAAGGCAAGATTCTTTGATGAAAAAAATTTATTTTCTCTAAAGGCTTCATAAAGTGACAATAACCAATGGTTACAATACCATACAAAGATACTAAGTTGTCTTAGTTTACAAGTCACCTGCTTCTAAAAGTTTTCAACATCTTCCACACTACAAGAGAGTTCTCAGCTTGAAGTAGCTGTTCTGGTTTTTCTGTCGAGAACTTAACAGAAGAATTCCTTTGCATACCTCTCATGTGTTCAGTTTATTTCATACCTGACTAATGGTCTTTTCCATCTGTACCAAACCCAAGTTGGGGAGAGTGCTTTTAATAAAATCAACAATAGTTTCTAGATTCTCATGCTGCAGAATTAAGGGCTTGTGGCTTCCCAAAAGGCTTAAAGCTACTTTAAATATAGCCTCTGATCCTTGAAGAAAGAGCATATCTGTGAAAGCAAGGAAAAACAGGTTATATCAAGCAAGCACATCTTTTGATAAGAGTATCAAAACAATAAATTGTCCAAGGACAACAACTTCTGACAGGAGTGACCTGGAGGTTAAATACACTGTGCTGGACATATGCTTTTGGCTACGGCTTTAGAAGTTTTATAGGATCAAGGTTATTATTATGAATAGCACACTTGACTAACACAATCACTTACTAATTTGTTTAGTGAGTTTTTGTTTTTTTTTTTTTAAAAGCAATTCAAGTTTAAGCTAAGTCTACAATAAACTAGTTAACCAAGTTCCTGTTGCCATTTTTTGTGCATGCAGTATTTTACTGGGCTGTTTTGATGTTTGTAGGAATATAAATTTGAATAGAAATCTAATCCCAATGCCCTTTAAAAATCATAATACAACAGGGAAAAAAACTATACCTGAAGACACAACTGAAGATCTGAAATTCTGTTTCTCTCTCATGTGGTAGAAAAAGCCACAAAACCACAATACGTTGAGCAAATGAGCCTAAATGCCTAAATGCACACTTTCCAGTAGCCTCAAGTTTCAGATGCGTGCGTATGTGTCTCAATCACTTCTGTTAATATGCTAATAATGATATTAATAAATACCCTGAAATCTTAGTCATACAGCTTAAGTGTAAATATTGCAGGTGGCCCTGCAATGACAGCGCCTGGCATACCAAGCACAGTGAAACCACAGTACACAGTGACCTTTCAATGTAATATCCTTTCCTTTCTTTTCTTTTACAAAGTGCCTGTGTATTTATAGAATAAAGAAATATAAGCCTGCAATAAAGACATCAGACAAGAAACCCAGTCTGTATAAACAGCACTACCTTGTATTTGACTTTCCTGCTACTCAGAATCTGCTCCTGGTTTCATTGAAGGACTTGCCTTGTTACAGACAGAAGCATCTAACAAATGAAATAATACTGATGGAGGTGATAAAGGAATAGAAGATATTGTGACGTTTTTATAATATTTCGTAAATATAAATTTACTTTGAAAGGGCTTCTCTCTTGTTCTTTCCCTGCTTTGTATTTGAAGCTGTGAATGCAGCCACAATCAATCATATACAAAGCAGCATAGTGACAACAAAAAAAAGAAAAAATGTATGTCTTGATACTAAAAAAAAATTTAAAATAGAAAAAGAAGAGTAAAGCAAAGAGACAGAAAAAACCCACTATGCTGTAAGAGAAACAACTACTAGCAAAACTACAGTAATCTCTGATGTAGTGAAGAACCTACTATGAAAGCACTGGTTAACAGCCTTTCTTAGAAAAACCAAACTCTATTTCCAAATTTGTATCATAATGAAATTCCCCTCTTGCACTCTTCAGCTTGCAATGTTGAAGCCATAACTCATTTCACTCTCTCTCACCAAGAAAGAAAAGCACAAGTAAAAACTAGCCACAAATCTTGCACTTTCTCGCCGTTTGTCCTAAAAGGGGTGTAACATTTTTCAGCTCTGTGTTGAGCTGAATGTGAACTCCAGTGGCAGAAATGATTAAAAAGTGATAACAGAGCAGGCATCCACCTCAATTCTCTATTGAAACTCAAAGCCATGGGAAAATTATTCATAGGGAAAGCTCTATATTAAGACAGGAAATACTGAAGAACAGCTAGAAACACAAAGTGAAAAAAGCAGAGCTAAAAAGAATGTGTTTTTATGATTCAGCACCTGCTCCATAATGACATGCAGATTAACTCAAGGTGACCCAAAAGTTGTTAATGAATGTCTGTATGACTGAGCTGGTAGTACACGGCTGAAATCCCTCTCTCATTTAAAACTGCAAGTACTTAACAAAGACCTGTTTGTTACCCACTCCCCATGCTTCATATTAAGTGGGCTCCTAGCCAACACCAATACAGTGAAGGTACCCAAATTAATATCAGCATGAGTGGCAGCCTACAGGAGTTAAAAAACCCCAAGTTTTAAGGATTAAAAAAAATTAAGTTTTATCTACAATCTTGAAACAAAATAAACACTATTCTATCAAATCTCCTCTAATAATAAGTAAGCAGGGGTACTAAAGAACACATCTTTCTTAACACTGTATTTACATCAGCTTCTGCTCAGGAGAAGAGTTGAAAGTTTGGACAGATAGATAAAAACTTAAAAGGAGTTTTGCTATTTGATTCATAAAACAGTCTAACCCACTTCTTTTACATATTGCCTGTTAGATGCCTGCAAAAAGCACACTTTATGGAAATCCAAAGGAATGGCCTGTAACAATTGTATAATTAAATAGGAGTGGGCTAGTTTTAAATACTAGGGGTTCAGAGAACATGTTAGAAAATTGAAGTGCAATCTCAGACTGTTAGTAACCTATAAACCAGCTATAAATAAATAAATAAATAAATAAAAGCCTATAAATCAGTTACTTCAGCATCAACATTCTCTCCTCCCAAGGGTTCTAATAAGTGAGCAATGAAAATCTATATACGTATGTTCTGCAAAAGCATGTGAAGACATAGGTGAAAAATGACTGGATTTTAACTTGCCATGCTGCTAATGACAGCCACTGGCAGAATGACAGCTCTAACCATTTCTGTTTAAAGTTGTGTTTCAGAGTCTTTAGTATGAGTGAGGAGGAGATTTTACTTTCTAATGTAAGAGAATGTCCAGTGTTCCTAACCTACATAGCTTCAGTAAATACTGTTTTAAGGAAATAACTAAATACAAAAGAAATACTGAATTTAAGGAAAATACTAAATACAAATCTGCAAGTATTGGTCATATTGAACTTTCTCTCTAAAAAATATCAGAGGTTTTAAAGAGGCAACAGTTTCTGTCACATATGCTTTTATCTTCTTGACCTAAAATCAGATGTGTGAAGATCACGTATCTGAGCCTTCTATTCTAATGCAAAGTTCAATGACAGAGAAAGCACTAATCTGTGTATTAAGGCAGAAATCCAAATAAATTGGATACATAAGGCACTTGTATAATCTCACTGCAGTCAATTGCCCCATTCAAATGCTTCGTATCATGTACAATACTATGAAAGATCAAGAATGACAAAAAGATAAGCTGATTATAACCTTGGTATATGACACTTGCATCCAGCACTTCATTTGATTCCTACAGATTACTACTTTCAGCTACATACTTGTTGATGTACATTAACCTGCTTTGAACTCTTCCAGGAAAAAAATATGCTGTTTTCCCTGGAGTTTGCAAGCTAATCATGTGACATACAGTTCTACCCTACAGACCATCATTTTCACTGTCAATTTTTCTAGCACTACTTTTAGCATGCTCTTAAACAGAAACCAGACAGAATTGTTGGTTCTTCTTGAGCTCTATATTACTATTTGTGCTAGACAGGACCATACTGTTTTTAAATCAGGAAAGTGTCAATATTAATCCACTAATAAATAATTTCTTCATTTTATCTCTTAAATTAGACTGACTAAAGAAAATCAAACTAGCTTCTCACTAGAAAATAAGAACTGGGAAGAAAGCTCCAATTCACCCCATCTGTTATGGACAACCCAGTACTACATAATGAAGTTGAAAAACAAGCAACTGAAAAGGAAACAAAGCATCTTCTCAAATACCAAACAATCGATGAAATATACATCCAGAAGATAGCATCAAGGTAAATTCTTAACTGGAATTTAATTTAAAAGGAAAGCTTCTGTAGATTCTAAAAATAGGCAACAGAAGTGACTTTAGAAACTAAACACCAGATGATTCCAAACATTTTTGGAACTAAAACTAAAACTAAAATTATGTAAACTAGAAACACTAGTCTAAATGTCTTGTATTTATGCAGAGTAAATCCATGATTACACTGCTAGGGCCATCTCTGTGTGTGTTTCAAAACATAACCCTCCAGCTGACACTACTGGAAATGATGATAATGGAGTGAATGGATATATTTCTCAGATTATGCCTTTGTTACATCTCTTGTCAGCTTGAAAATAAATAATTGTTGGTGTTGAAGAGTCATTGTCATGATACAATGGCTACCTTCATGGCATCAAATTTTACATCCTCTCTAAAAGTGGTTACAAGGCAGGAAAAGGTAACAATGAGGATGAAAAGACATTTGGGATTGTCGTTTACTTTCTTCCTCTCTCTTCCTGTTTTACTGATACACTGCACATTCCATAGGATGACCTCTGTTGTTTTTCTTCTGTTCACAGTAAGCAAAATATTCCTCCTGAGTGTCTGAAACAGACTGGATAGTAATGCTGTTCCTAATAACAAGATTCCAAAGGTAAGACTTCAGAAAGAACAGAGAGAAGTTTTATGAAGAATTACCAAACACTCTGGATACGAATCCAAGGGGAAACTGGGAGGCAAACATGGTGAGGAACCAGGGAGCAGCATAGAGGCTGGGGCCAATCTCATGTTCCTCTAGGTGGTTATAGAGATCTCGATGGTAGTCATGAAGAAGTCGAGACAATTGGTACATCTGGATCTGCATGAAATAAGAACAAGAGAGTAAAGATCAACATGTTTTAACATTCATAATAGCAAAGTCCATGCTTCATACTTATCAGAAACACAGAAATGTCAATTGATGTTTGGATGAAATTGTGTGGAAACAAAAAGTACTCGGAAGCCACCTAGGACACTGGATGGATCACCTGTGAGCCTACAACAGGCTCATTTGCAGGGCCATTTGAACACAACAGAAGTATTCTATGGTTTCCATAATTTCCCCAGGAGTATTTTCATTTAAAAATCATGCATTTAAGATGATGTATTCTTTTCCTAGATGATCCTTCCCTATTTTTAAGAACTCAATTTAAGTTTTGACAATGCTAGCTGTATTGCATTATTATTATTTAACATTAGTGTCCTTTACTTAAAAAAAAAGAAATCATACCTGTAAAATTGTCATGTCAGGACGATATTGTTTTCTCAGGCCCATGTCAAACATAAGAAACTTCAGCATTTTAAAAGCATCTTCTTCACTCATATGTAGTAATAAAACGCCTGCTACAAAACTAAGGCCCTGGCAATATCCTACTTCCTGGTCCAGAAGTGAATAGGCCTTCAAAATATTGTAGAGTGACAGCTGCCCAGCTCCCAGCTGTGCTGAGAAGTATGGATGTGTTGGAAATGTGCGCCCTGTGAAAAGAGCTGAAGTTAGTGACTTAAACTAAAAAATAAACAAGAAAACCCCCAAAACCCTGTCATGCTGTCAAATTAAACAGCCTTTCAAAAATGTAGATTCTTTTGAGAGGTAGATTTTGAGCCAACACACAGGAAGACCATAAGAAAGTTAACAAGAGGGAACAATTGACTCTTATAATCAACCACTGTTTTATTACAGTCACTGCAAAGTTAATTTAGAAACTGTCAGGGGGTGAGGAAAACCTGTTGTTTGAAACAGCTGAATACCTGATTCTTAAGACTGAACCCTGAACAGTTTATTAAAGGATAATAAACTATTATAAGGACTATTATAAGTTGTCCTGATAAAGACGACTATTAGGATCCAGGCACAGACTTAGAACATCTGATCTATGCAGGCTGAGGCCCTTTCCATTTTCTTTTTGTGTTTTTCATGTAAATGTGTCTCTTGTCACTACCCTCCTTACCTTGGTCCCTCCCAGTCTCCCTCTGTTTTTTTTTTCCTGCAGCCCATACAATACCAAGAATTGTGTAGCCATATATAAGCTATGTTGGGTGCTACATATACATTCTGTGAGAGCATAGCTAATGGAGGCAGCCAACAGACACAGCACTTTGTGCAGCCATTTCTGGGCTTTGTTTCCTTGAGCTTTGAGCATAAAGAGACTATGTCCAGGATAAGCAGGGGACTCCTGGAAGTGTGAGGGTACTGCTGCTGGCTGGTAAGGCTGATGCTGGTAAAGCTGATGCTAACCAACCCTTGTCAGTTGCCCTTGATGACAGGGTGTCTGGAACTTTTGTTCCAGCTGATCCCTTAAAAGGGAGGGTCACTAATGACCTGGGCAATGGGGCAGAGCACACCCTCAGCAAGCTTGAAGGTAATACAAAACTGGGAGGAGTGACAGATACACCTATTACCACGCACAGAGGGACCTCAACAGGCTGGCCAATGAGCTGCCTGGAACCTAACAAAGTTTAACAAAGTTAAGTGGAAAATTCCTGCAGATGGAGGAAACAAACCTGTGCACCAGTATTTGCCACCCATCTGGAAAGCAGCTTTACAGAAAAGGATCTGAGGGTTCTGGTGGTCACCAGGTTGAACATGAGCCAGTGATTTGCCCTTGCAGCAAAGATGGCTGCTGGTATCCTGGGCTGCATTAGGAGTGCCACCAGCAGCTGGAGGCAGCTGATCCTACCCCTCTACTCAGCACTGGTGAGGCCATATCTGGAGTGCCCAGTTCTCTGTTCCCACTACAAAAGAGATATGGCCATACTGGAGAGAGTCCAGTGAAGGACCAGTAGGATAACAGAGGGACTGGAGCATCTCCTCTATGAAGAGAGGTTGAGAGAACTGGGACTGTTTAGCCCAGAGAAAAAAAGGCTCAGGAGGATGTTACCAGTGTGCACAAATACCCAGTGGAAGGGAGTGAAGAAGAAGGAACTAGGCTCTTCCCAGTTGCTCACTGACAGAACAAAAGGCAATGGGCACACATTGAAAAACATTCCAGATGGTTTTGGTAGAAAAAAAGAAAATTCCACCTTTATTTTTATTTTTTTTTAATTGTAAGGGTGAATAGACAACTAGCACAAGCTGCCCCAAAGAAGTTGTGAAGTCTCCATCTATGGACATATTCAAAGTCTGAGCAAACATGATCCTAGGGCGGACCTTTCTTTGAGCAAAGGGGATTTTGACTAGCTGATCTCAAGAGCTCCTTTCCAATCACAACCACTCTGTGATTCTGTGAACAAAGACATTAAAGACTTAACGTTTACAGATTTTTTAAAAAAACTTCCAAAGGCAAATTTTTCACTTTTAGGAAAAACCTTCTCCCTATCAAACTTCCTCTGTGAAATACCTCAACAGAGGAGAAATGTGAATACCTCTTTTGTTCTAATATTAAGTGGAGCTTGCTTTCTGGTTGCCCCCTTGTTAAATACCACCCCACCCTTTAGCTCCTGGAATGCTACTGTGCTGCCAGATAATATCAGAAACTTCTGTTTCAAGACAAAGCCCATGGCAGAGTCCTTCTGCCATCTGGTAGCTGCTCTACCCTGTCACTTGGGACATGGCATTCAGTTCTGAGTAGGTCTCCCTGGCCAGGGTGTCAGAGATGAATGTTACAGAATAAGTATTTCTAGTTTTCAAAGGAGAAGGAGCTTGCATTCCATTGCTCGAAGGACAAGTTACTACAGCACAGTCTAAAGGCAGACCTGCACTGCCTCACTCAGGCAGCAAAGCTCATTTCATATAAGTCATGAAAAAGAGTTACAAGGTTAGCAAGAATAAAAATGCTAAGAAGTTCTAAAAACCAGTAAATGGATGAGAAGAACTGCTAAACTCACAAGCTGATGTGCTTCTGAGTGCTCTGATCTTGGCTTAACTAAGAGTTTTAGCCTTTATTTTGGAGCAAAGATATCTGGCCCTGCCAAAAAGAGACTAAATGAACTGTGATACCTCTAGAGCCTCAGAATGCGAAATAAGTACCTATTACTTTATTTTTTAAAATGTAATAAAACAAAACCTAATTTTCCACCATGTTCAGGAAACACCCAGTGATGGATGGTTTCCTACACTGATAGCACTGTGACATGTAAATTGAGCCAGCAAAGCAGCTGCTATACCTTAGCTCTGCAGCCACATGCACACTCCTGGCCTCAGGAAACACTATTTACATCTGAGGATGCATCAATTCAATTAAGTTCGAGCAATACTATTACAGCTTTGGTTCATACTGTGTTAACAAGACCTATTTAGCCTAATTTGGGCAAGGTTTGTAAGTATTACAACCACTACATTGTGAGAACAAAGGTTTTTTTCTTTCAAGGTGAACTGCATGTTCTCAGAAGGATTCTTAAAAAATTAAGCAAAAATGCTTCTGATAGCTTGAAGGAACACAAGTCAGAATATGCAAATCCCTTCTAGCTGTCTATCCAGTTATACTGTCTGTTATCATGCAGCACAGCTCTATTTCAATGTGAATCACTAGGAAGTCTTCAGCTTCCTAATTCACCTTAGGGTTATGACAGGGCCCAATGCCTCTTTCAGCTAGGAGGGGCTGGCAAAGAGCACCCTGGCAGAAACAACACTTTGCATGAAAACCACCATGAAGTTACCAGTTTGCCAACATATGCAGTCATTTGTTTCTACAAGAGCACATGGCTGAGAAAATATTTGTGTGCAGAACCATGTAGAAAATATGAACAGCTTACTGAGCCAGTAAGCCCCAGTCTGCTATGTGAGACAACCAAGCTGAAACTGACTGTTCTCCCAGGCATCATCCCAGCACCATCCCTCTGCTAAGGTGTTCAATTAATTAACCCAGCACAAAACTGTTCCCCTCTTACTGAACTACTTCAGTGTCCCACTCTTCACTGCCAGGTATGCTGGACCAATAGGTATTTGATAGTAAATGGTCTCTGGCTGCAAGTAAATGTCTCTCAAAGCAAAGATTGTTGTGTGGCCATGCTCAGTCCAGGGGAATTCCTAGATCTGGTATGCAAAGTCTGAAGGGAGACAATTTACACACCCTGCCTATTCCCAGCTGGCATTAAAGCTCCTTGGACTATTACTTTCACAGTGCCAAATTAAAACCAGACAGGTCTGCCAAATAGGGGAAAGGAAAGGTGACATTCACCACCACCCTTTCCCACCTCCAGCTGTGCCACCTCATGCAGAAACACACGTGTTCCTTCACATTCCTATGTATTTTCTGTGCACTGCTTTGGTATTTTGACTCAATTTAACAAGTGTTGCAAAAAAGGAGAAAATAACCTCTTTATCATCTAAAGCTTAGGTCACCATTTAAACTTGACAAATCTTCTCAGTTTGAAGACAGTCAGCACATTGAGTTTTAAATAAAATAATAAATGAGTGCTCTCAGACAGCTCTGGGTATAGGTAATCCTTCCTCATCAGGCAAGAAAGGGGGTAGATCATTTGCAGTGAAAAATGCTAAAGTACTTATAAGTAGTTATAAAGAGTAGTTATAAAGAGTTATGAAGGGACAATTCTCCACTACTGCCTTGCAGAAAAGATGTAAGAGAAAATAATGCAATGGGTATTAATCATTCAGATCAGTCCAAGTACAACTTCTTCCATAAATTTTATCATTCTTTTACATTCTTTTACTTGGTTACTTGCAGTGCACAATTTCCTTTGATGGAGTTTTTAATTGGAAATTCATTTAATCAAATGCAGTGATAATGGACTTCTTAAATTGACCCACACAGCTCCTCAGAACCAAAGTGTCAGTACTATGCCCTGGAAGACATTGATATTTTGCCTTTATTAGGGAAGAGCATAATGAATACTGAGTTCAATGTGGGATTATCCCACACACAAGAGCTGTGATCCTCTTGGAAAAACATCAGCTCCTGATTTCTCATACCAGATTCTTATCAATAACCCATTATAAAATGGGTTATTGTGAAAGCAATTTTGTGTATTACCTTCTTTAAGTATCTTACAGAGATCATAAACCCCTTGTTTTAATTTCAGAACATTACTGTACTTACCTAGGTCAATAAGAATTGCATGCTGTTGGGAAGTTAGTTGTTTTAGGAGTTCTTTATAAGGTGTGTCCTTTGGTTGTTGTTTACTTGGAAACTGATGTTTAAGATGGTATTGCTCAGCTAGAAACTTCCAGATCTCCCCACGGTGATGACGTGGTACTCCTGAGCAGAGAAAGCAATTAAACCAGAATTTGTACTCCTACTGAGGGTTCTGCTATAGTTGAGCTAACAGGATTGAGGAACTGAAGATGCCTATCTGCTACACAGGCAGACAGATCCCTATTGGCTACCTCCAGTGGACCATAGAAGGAGATGAAACTACAGCGCTTTTACTTCCTCAATCAATAAAAGACATCACCACCTTAACAGGAGTGATTTAAAGCAGAAAGAAATACTATGAACTGCCTAAGGTTAATGCTTACATCCAGTCTGAGAAGCACTAGAAGAGGCATCAAGAATTGCTCTACTTTTCTCTGAAAAGCTACGTGCTTATCTCCCCTTTTTCCATGTAAAGTACACAAGAAAGCACTGCAGTAGAACGAATTCACACTTTCCACTAACAAGCACGGTCTCTGATGTCGTTTTAGGAAGGTGAGATGCACATATAGCAAAAATACAAATAGGTACAAATGAGAAATGATCTAGAGACTACAACACAAGGCAGATAATCAGATAGCAAGTATTGTATTTCTAGTTTTGCTATCAGCTTGCTTAATGATTGGTACACATAAAAATGTTTTAAAATTTGAATTTATTTTGCGTTAAAAAGAGCAGATGCGACTTAACTATTTCACATAAATAATGACAGCCTTAATTTTTAAACTGTATGTAAAGCTCTGAGAGTAAAATTAATTCAGCACAAGACTATCACTCACTATTAAATCACCTACACAAGAAATCAATGCACTTTCACTTGGGAAGTGTTCTATCTAATCCATAATGCAGTGGAACCAGATACCACAGTTTGAAATAACTTACAGTTTGAAGTTTTTAGGACTGGCTTTTTCTTTTGGTATATATGTAACATAGGGAGGACAACAATAATAGGAGAAATCAAGAATTATTCAAGCATACAAGTTACATGGAAAGATAACAAAACACTATATCTGATATTGTTAGAAATCTAGATTTACCCAGTCATTTTAAATGGGCAATTTGGTTTAACTTGCTTGTATAATTGCACATAGTCAGGTGCAATATTTAAAATGTTAAACTTCTGACAGTGGTTAAATCTTGATACTTCCTTTACAGGTTGGAAAGCTTTGTAAAGAACTTAGAGTAAGTTCTTTGTAAAGCTCCTTAGAGTAGCCATCTTCACCATTGGTCTATCTAACAATCAGCCTAAGGCCTTTGGGTCCAACCATGGCAAATGCAACATGGAGTAATAGCCCAATTTCTTAGAACATTTAAAAAACATCCTTAGGTTATATTACTTTTGCTGCAGTAGAGATAGGGGTAGTTGCTCAGCCCTGCAGTTGTGAGGAAGACTCTAAGTGGTTGTTTGCAGGGAAAAAGTGTTCTTGAACTCAGAAAAGGCAGTTCTGCAGAGACACCCATGTCTACTGTTTGTGCACAGACATAGTACACAAGCTGGAACAGAGAATTTCCAGAGTGCAGAGGGCTTCTTCGGTTATTCACAGTCATTTACTGCCATTATGCAGGCTTTTCTTCTTTAACTGCAACTTTTAATTTATAAAATCAGATCATAAAAATTGTAATACATTGAGGTAACATACAAGTCTCCTGATAAGGGCAGATGTTACTCAAAAATGTATGCTGTAGCTCCAGTGATACAACTGCAGCTACCACTGAAAGGGACTGGTACTTGCATTTGCATAATCACAATGGTATCAAAAGTTGTTACTTGTTTAGTCAGCAGCCTGAGGAACAGCACTAGAGAGAATATAATTATAAGGAATGGTTAAGTGGCTACACTATTCCTTTTCAGATACAATTTACATGCACTTCAACAACTCAAAAAAACAAACTGTTTACCTTGTCCAACAGCAGAGTGTATTTTTTCCACATCAAATTTAATCTTTGACCTTCCAGGTGTACTCAACATTTTTTCCCAAATCAAAGTTACTTCTTTTAAGCATGGTGTGATTTCTTCGTAGTCAAGTTTCAGGCGCCTGTTCTGCAAATTGTTTTCAGATGCTAAAAAGTGATATAATGAATGTAGCAGTTACTATTTGTACAATGGATTAATTTAACTTAAAACTCTCTTGTGCTATCCACCTGAAACATTTCATATCTAAAATTCCATGATTGGTTTGTTTGGTTTTTTTAAAATATTATATGCAATATTAATTGTGTTTGGCCAGTTAAACTGAATTCCCTACTCCTAATCAACTCCTAAATATGAAGAACAAGAGATATGAGAGATGATGACTACTGAAATAAACATAAGATTTTCGTAACAGGCATTTTCATTTCCCCAGCTCTTCAGTGCAGAAGACTTTCAGCAAATAAAAACACAAACCAAATTTAGTATCCATTTGTTATGCATACAGCCCCATAATAGTAATGACAAAGTAAAAACAATAGCTAGGAAAGCACCAAAAAACCATGGCAGAAATGAAAATGATTCTATAGCTGAGTGGAATTCCAAAGTTTAGAAGTAGAGCAAGAATTTCAAAGGGAGTCTTGGTAAGTTTTTTTTTGGGGGGGGGCGGGCATTTTACTACTATAATGTGCCTAGAAAATAGGATTTATTAATGTTAATTATGTAAACTAAATAATAAAGCATGTTTTGTGACAGTGGATGGATTTTTGCAGGTAATAAGACTGAAAAAAATAGAAGAGGAGAAAAAGAGGCATAGTTCATATGAGACAAATATGTCAGTCGTGTATTCCCAAAAGGCTGAAATGATCAAAGATAACGCTATAAGGAAAAAAAGATGAAGCTACAAAGACAGCACTAAGGAGAGACAGAGGTAAGTTTATGGAGAAATTAACAAAATAGGTTTCAAGTTTTTAGCTAGGCTGTAGTGTGGCTGAGTACTCAATGCACCTAGTTCCAGGACAAGAGCAGCTCTCAACTTGCAAAAAAATGAGCAGAGCAAAAGTTCAAAATACATAAAAGCCTGGAAAGGTTCTATAGTATTAAACAAAAATTAAAAGGTAATTCTCATACAAATAACACTATTTGAAGCTATGTTTATGAAATAGTGTATTGTGAAGTAACCACGTTTTTTAATTAATTTACCCTGATGTACTTACAGTGCTTCTTTGTTGTGATGATGCAATACTGTAATGGTAACGAGATACTCTTATTTTGAGGACATTCTGCCATTTATCATAAGCCTGCTGCTACTTTTGAGGATTTCACAGTATGAACTCATAAAATCACTCCTATCCATTTCAAGTCTTGAGACAATCTATGTTAAAATGTTATTACATTTTGATAATTTAACTCTCCATTATTTGTATTTTCAACCCCTTTATATATATTTAATAAACAGTTAAAGATTGCCTGACATTTACATTCCATAATGACACTAGCAACACACGACACTCAACTTCTTCTGAGATCTGTATCTGCAGTTTAGGTTCTCTAGATTATTGAATTCTGAGAGTCACAAAGAGTTATCCCACTGACTACACAAGCTTCTAGATTCCAAAAACTGGAAAGAAAAGAACTGTTTATATTTGGGAAGAGTACCTCCTCATCCTGTAGTTGCTTTCACATGCGAATGACTTTATTCAATGAGGTTATTCATGCGAGTTGTGAGGTTACCTAAGCGTTTGCAAGATTTGGACCTCAGAATATTTAATTTTTAATTCAGTGATTAGCTACAGATACATGAAATACACACACTCATACTTTTCTTATAACTGTGTGTTCACCCTGAAAGTAATTTAGTCTATCTAAACTATTTGTCAACTTCTTCACATTTTTGTCAGTTCAAAACCAACACATTTATAAATCAGAATATTAAAAACCTCAAAACACATATGGTATTGTATGAATATAACTTAAAAAAAAGGCATTTAAATTTCAGCTTATAGGAAAACAAACTCGGAGAAATCTTTTAATGTTTCGTCTTCTGCAAACGTTTTTTGGTGCCTGGCAACTTTTCAGACTTTTCTGCTTTATTCAGTCTTCTTATGCTGTGTGCAAAAATGTGACATGTGAGGACAGAGGTGAGAATATGCCTTTATCAATAAGCTTATTCAGATACTGACACTACCCAATTCCCAATATTACACTCAAGTACTACTAGTAAAGAGGCTGTGCTCTCTGCAGCACAGTCACCAGTTGTTTTCAAGTATTGTCTCACCATCTGAGAGTTTCATGCAGCAGCTACCTAGGACAACTTCCTCACCCCTCAGGGCATACAGCACAGCTGGGCTTTCAGTTCTGCCAACACCCACCTCATTCATTCACTAACTAGCTTTTTAGACATGGGTTAATCTTAATGTATGTGTGATGGTTTTGCAATTTTTTCTTTTAGGCAGACAAAATTGGAGCATCTAGTTAGACTTGCTAAAAATGTGTACAGATATTAATGACCTGCACTTGGCAAAAATTTGACTGCAGGCTATAGATTCAGATAATTTGAATACAAGAGAAATTTTAAAAAAAAATCCGGAGTATAAATACACAAAACAGAGAAAATTTATTTCTGAATGCCATAAAAAAGTTACAGAAGCTCATTTACAACACCACTGTTCTAAGCTTGAAGAGATTGTATAAATCATTTTTCTAAGTACCTCTTCTCCAGATGATCTCAGCCTCTAGCCAAGGACACTGTATATCTGGTATCCATTGTCATATTTTATTTTACTGGATTAGCTAGTACACTGCTGGGAACATGCTTGTCACCTGTGTCGGGTGTCAGGTGCTCAGATAGGGTTGAAATAGGAGAGCTAGGTGCAAACAGCCTACAGGTGGGCCAAGTGCTTTGACAGGCCATATTCAATATCCAAGAGGTGTTTTGTCTTTCCAGCCACAGGTCTTAGCCTGAGTTTAAAGAAGGATTTCATGTTTGGTGTACTGAACTTTTCATACAGCTGGGCCCTTTCTCTTCACACTTCTTGCAAGTCAAACCTTCCTCAAGTTTAGACAATAAAAAGAAATATTGCCATTTTCATGCCAGGTACCTCCCCTTTTGAGGGTTCAGGTGCCTACTACCCAGATAAAAATTTCTGTCCTCATCATTCATATCTTCAAAGGAGCAGCTCTCAAAGACAATCACTTGCGATTCTGCATACAGCTGTTCTTTATGTGTAGAAATTGCCACCAAAATGGATTTGTTGCTGCTAAGTCATTCACAGAAAAATTGTGATTAAGAACAGCTGCAAATTACAGTTTCTCAAGTTCCTTCTCATCACCCTTTGGACTGATCTAAGTCATTACCACCCTACAGAAACCCTGCCTGCATAATATGGGTACTACTGCAGGAACCCATAGTTTTAAGTCCACAACAACCTCTTTAAGAACTTCCTTTCAGCCTCAAGACTGGCTAAACACAATGATGCAATGACCAATACTTAGACAAGGATCTGTGGATGTGAACATAGAAAAGAATTCAGTTCATGATGCTGATCATGCTCAATTCCTTGTGAGAGTGTCTAGACACCAGCCTAAAAAGCCCCAGCCATGGTAAAGAGTGTGTCCCTTCAGATCAGGTAAACAAATAATAAAGTGAAGTATATAAAAAAAATATCATCCATTGTCACTTACACTAATGACAGCGGAGGGAGATGCAGCTAATCTGATTTACCTGTGTATTCCTAGAATGTTTCATTAAGGCTTGGTGCAGTCCACTACCAAGGCCACAGAGAAAACCAAAAGGTGAATTTGTATTGCAGTAGGGTGTAGTACTCGAGAACTTCACCAACCTTGTAACTTCTGGTTTTCTTTCTCCATTCTGAGGAGCAGTATCTGCTGGATAATGGCTTTCTTCCACAGCTCACGAAGCTCATGGGGTGTCCGTTTCCTTTCTTCTTTCACTGGCCCAAAGGGGCCATCTTCACACACTGGCTCCAATGGGGATCTGGGTGGAAGATCTCCCAATTCACAGTAATCTTTAAAAGAGAGAAACTGTTGTTAACTACTTGGATGTCAAGAACAGGTGAATGAAGGGACACAATTTGAAAGATTGCACATACATAGATACACACATCTACATATATACACACTAACTCATGTATCCATCTATATCTAGATATCTAGATAGATAGATAGATAATAGGTAGCAACACCAAGCAAAGCTTCCCAAATGAAAATTTCAAGCAGACTTAAAAGCTGCTTTAGAATAAGAATCATACAGGCTAAAGCCTAGAATAATTTTTTCTATAACCTGGTAAAAACATTGCACCACACACCAAGACCACATCTTGCTAATTGCAACTTTACACGCAGAGAACTGAAAGGAAAAGGCAAGTTTGAGAAATTACAAAAACATAACCTACAGCTGAAATGTGGCATGACTCAAATAGCAGATAAAATCAAATATAGCACCCACATAATTTGAAGAATAATCTCTAAAGCGTGTTTAACAAAGAAAACACACGCCCTTAGCTGCACAAACACACCACCACCTAAGGCCATGGGATGATTACCAGTTCTTAAAGTAAATAGGTGGAGAGAGAGACAGGCACTTAAGACATGCTTGTTTCCACTTTTCATTTTTAACCATATCATAACCTTCTGCACTTTTTATTTTGGCTTCAGCTGGCCTACCACAAAATATATCACTTTGTCAAGCATGCAAGGCATTTTTAAGGCTGAAAACATTACAAAAGAAAGTGAACATTAAATAAATCTCAGGCAAATTGAAAAATCATTTATTTTTAGGGAAAGAGTATATAACATTGTTTTAAATCAAGTAATCAATGTAACAGGCACAAGCTGTTATACTTTGTTTTCTTAATACCTGCTGTAGTATCACTTAATTTTATTGTTTTATACAACTTCTCTGGAGGCTCAGTCTTTGACACAACCTGTATCTAGAAGAAAAATTACTCAATTCACCAACTTGAAATGGAATGGTCAAAATAACCAGTCTCTTCCTACCAAATCTCAAATGAAAGGACATCACAACAGCACTTCTTCACCCAACCACAATGGCTATGAAATGGCTCCCTGAGCACATGCAGGACAGTGCTTTAAAGTTATTGCAACAAAATCCATTCACAGACTTGCTAGCTAAGGACAAGTGTGTGCTATTTTGAACTGCTCCTGCAGAAGGAGCATTCTTGAAGCAACTATTCTGATGGCAGCTCAGTGGTCCACTTCTTTATCATTGCCTAGCATGGTGGTAAAGACTTTGAATTAAACATACACATCATCTCATCTCTTCAAAACTAACAAAATAGGAAAGTTTTTCCCCTTTAATTTCTGCCCAGACTGTCACTCTGACTCATGAAGTTCATATGCAGCTATTCTTTCCTTGTTTGTTTGAAGGCACTCGAACAACTGAGCTCAGATGACTAAGAATGGAAATGCTCACAGCTGTTCACTTCTGCTTTTCTAAGTCTTGCCATTGTCAATCTTCTCTCAAAGTGACAGAGAGAAACAGAGTGGCTTCAAGTACCACCCGTTTTTTGTACAACATTTATTTGCTTGCCACCACAAAGTCTAGGGCAAAAATATACATATAAAAGAGAGTGTAACATTTGGAGCTAGCAGAACAATTTAAACCTTTACAACCTTGCACTCTAGATATAGATGTGGATACCCACACTTCTGGTATCTACAGCATTTCAAAGAACAACGAACATCATGGGAATGAGAATCAGGCAAAGGTCAAATATTTGACACTTTAAGGGCAATCACCATTTTTACAAAGCAAACAGGAAAATTGACAGGTGCACTCAGAAATACAGCTGGTTATGAAAAGTATCAATACAATGAAGAGACTATTATATTCATTAAAAGAAATTGGAAAACATTAATCCTTTTTCTTTACAGGTAAATGGAAAGACTTCAATGGGCTAAGATCTGCAATTATGAAAGAGATACAGGTAAATGTCAGCACATAGAGAAGATACACTCAATAATTTTCAACTAGTATTGACCACGAAAGGAAAATTATTTTTATTTGATGGCTGCTTTTGATACAATTGTTGATTTCAAAGCACATGCACTACCAATGTCAACAACGTTCTCTACATTTCTATGTAGAATTTCTAAATACAGTGGCTTTCATCCCAATTTTCCTTAGAGCATATTAAGAAATATTTAAAGGGAAATGCTCTTAAGGACAATGCTAATAGAATTCGCTTAATTTACTTGAATAAAATAATAAAGAAATAAAAAGACAATCTTCAAGAGAAGTTGTTAATTTCCTCTAAGGCTGCACACAATAATGAAACCATAAGAAAGAGGAATCAATAGAAGTGGTCACCATACACCAATGCAAAAAAGTAAAAGTAATCCAGATAAGAAACCCCTTATCTACTGTACACCGTCAGTGGTCTATTCACATCTTACACTCATGTTCCATTCTCATAGCATCCAGTATGGAATGCAGTCACATCTTGAAGGAAAAAAGTCTCTTCTACACATCCTCCCTTGTATTTATGTGTCTCTTTTAGAATCAGATGTGTATTCTGATTTTATGTATGCAAATATGCACTAATACGATAGAAAATAATAGACTATGTCCAGATACAGTTTATGGCCACTTACTTTCTTAAAAAACCCAGGCTGGCAAAATACATGCAAGGAAATGGATTAAACACGTTGCATTCCTAAAGCAAGAATGAACACATTCAACACCTAGACTCTTCCTGTCTTTAATGTACACATCCTGCTTTCTCAGGAGAAATTTGAGGGATTGGTCTTCAAGTATCAAATTCACAAATTTATCAGAGCCATTACTCACTCGTTGCTCTCCCGTGATCAAACTGTGGCAACACCTGAACTGCTGCAAAGCATTAATTACTGAAGACCACGGTCCTGCTTCCATTTAGGCTGAAAATCTCCCATCTGTTGATGACTAATCTGATAAAATCAGTATTCATTAAAAGAAATAATGCTTAAGGCTATAAAAGAAAACCAAAAGGTTACAAAATTTTATAAGCTGAACAATTATGATTATCAACCCTACCTGTAATGCTTCTGTGAAGAATCCTAGGATTGATTTTGCCTTCAAAACTGCAGCTCCTTTTCAATGTGCTCTTTTCTTTCTTATCACTTGTGGACATTTAACAGAAAGTCTAAAGTCTACTCTGATAAAGTGCAGCACATTCAAAAACTGCCTTCCTTCCCATCTGCACGCTGGCATGAGGCAAGATTTACAGAATGCAAAAGGAACCTGTCTAACTGCTCAGGTGGCCTATCAGAAGTCTGCAGAGTTGCATCAGCTGTTAAAGGAGGGAGGAAGGTGGAATGTGAAGGCAATCCCTCAAATCAAAATAAAAAACTCAGACATTTGGTAAGTCAGCACTAACCCATGTCCATGAACATGCAAGGTGATAGAGAGACATGCCACCCAGCTTCCAGATCCAGAACAGACAAGAGCAGAAATACTGTGACAAAGAACAGAGTACTGCATTGTTAAGCACCAGGGATCTGGAGGATAGCAGAGAAAGCAAAGATAAACAGTAGAGTGATCCAACTGCATGTAACTGGGAGCTCACATTCCATGGAACCAAACTGCCATATGGAGCCTTCAGAACTTTTATGAGATTAGTAGGTGCACTTAAACAGGATGTGAATGCTTCAGCACACACTGAAAGACTGCTTCCCTGTTCATGTGCCAACTTACTCAGCTTTTGTTGACTCCTATTCCACGTTTGACCTGACCCTAACTCCTTGCAAATAGATTGCTTCCTTTGCTTCCATATAAAATTCTACCTCCATACATGCTACTCCTACAAGGCTGTTGCACTTCTATTCTCTAATTTGGCAAGAATTTGTCAAGTTGACTCAATAACTATTAGTATATTTGATCAATGGTAATTTTGTCGTAATTTTCCATTTGAGATTCATACTTGGACTACACTTCAGAACTATTCTTTTGCACAAAGGAATTTTACAAGTCTGTGGGTCAAACCCAAGGATTCCCCGAGAAATCACACTTCACTGGGAAAACCACCATCTTTCCTGGGCTTGTGAGAACTTGTTCAAGGTACTGTATTGCAGATGACACTGCTCATGAACCAGATGGAAATGTTGCTCAAATATTCTAGCACATCCATATGTACCTCAAAAGCACTCCTCTTACACTTCCACCACTTATAATACCCAACAAAGGACAAGGCCTGTAGGAACAATGGACTGAGATGGAATTTGTACAGCTCATCTATTAATTTATACTCAGCTGTTGGCTTCACATGGCAGTGCTTCAACCCTAAGGTGCAGAGTATCCCTACACTGCAAAAAGATCAACAAATGCATTACAAAACCTCCTACGGGGACAGATGACACAAAAAAACCAAAGTACAAAAGACTAAGAAGGAAGTGTCATGATATATTACTACCAGGGACTACACTAAAGAAAGTCTGTACATGGAGAGATGGTGAATGAGCTCAGTAGTTATGAAAACAGACAATATTTCATCAGAAATGATATGAACAGGGATATTTCATTTGTAAATCACTAAGAAAAAATTAGTTTATCAAATATTTTCCTATCAATCCACGTTAGTACTAAACAAGGTTTAAGTGACAAACCAACCTAAAAACCTAAGTTTAAAAAACATTCAGAAACACTTATTCTAACCAACCTGATTTTCCATTCAGGTAGTACATCTTTCACACATGGTACAGAAATAAAGAGGAATGCAAACTTCTATAACCAATTTTAACTTCATAACCAGATGTGATAAAATGATCAGGAGCCTTCTGTAATCAGAAAGTTTCAGATACAGAATCACAAGACCCAACAAGTTCTTCTAATCTGACATACAACGTAAAGCAATGGCTGAATGAGGAATTCTTGAAAAATTGTGTATTTCAACATTCTTGATTAAAATCAGCTCTGAAAGATGCCTTGGACTTTGCTTTTCTTTTAAAGCCAAGACTTCCTAAAAAGTACTCACTACCTCCAAATTAATCTCATTTGCTAATATTATCAGTCCCTGAGAAAGGAATGCCCTAATATTTCAACGGGCACAGAGGTCATCAAATGTTAATCGTGTACTTACTGTTTGTAGCCAAACTTCTGTGCCACAAATCAAGATTGAGCACATATTTGCTCTGAAAGGAGCAGAACTGAGTAATCAATTATAACCAACTGGCTTTAATTAATAATAACTGTGTTGTTAAAATAGTACTGACAAACACATTACAAATAATTTACACCCCAGAAACAGTCTAAGCACAGAATTATAAAGCAACAGTTTATAGTATTTGTAATGCTACTACAAAATGATTTTTTAAAAATTTGCTTAAATAATCAAGTGATATAGCCCACACCTATAAAGAGATAGGTAGCTGCTAACTACAGCTGGTTTCAAGAATAACCGTTCTTCAAACTTTTCTTCAGCACTTTAGATTTAACAGTTTTTGGATTTGCCACCTCTATCTGACAGAGGCTGAAACCAAAATAATTTTAATTAATGAACCATTTTCCAGTGCAGAGATATTTGTGCTTACTAAACCATTTTTTTCCTGAAACTTCAAGCTCTAAAGTAAAATGTAGTTGAATTTTTAATCTGAATTTATTTTCTGAGTACAAAGCAAATTTTATTTGCTAAGTGACACAAGCACCTCATTGCTCTGAATTTCATCTTCTTTCACTGTTCAACGGGTAACTTCATCACACATTGCCCACATCAAAACAAATCACCCATTCTCCAACCTAAGACTGACATAGCTGTTACAAAAATCTTGTTGTCTACTTCCAACACACCTCCCTCAGCAAGAAAGCTCCAACAAGCACCACTACTTTCCCACATTTCTTTCAAAAACTATTCACATTCCCCTTAAGTCCAGCAATTGACTTGACTGTGCTGGGAGTTTCTGACAATCTGCAAAAAAGTTCTCCTACTATGACCAATTGTGAACAGTCAAATGTGAAAACTGTAGTGAAAATTGTCCACTGCACAGAGATTTGTACATGCTGAATAAATTTAAGTGAGTATCTCGCTGCACTGCAGTGCAAGGTGAAGTTTCATTATCAGTCTACACTGGTTTAAGGATGTCCTGATCCTGAGCAAAGTAAGGGCATCTTCACCTTCCTCACCTAACCCTGCTTGCTCTATTGCTTGTGTAATACTGTGAGTGGGACTAGAACACTGACCCAACTGAAAATTAGGGCTTTCGAGTGTGTCCATATTTCATCTGGTTTAAAATGATCACTGAGTTGTTCTCTTCGCCTTTTTACCAGTGAACAGAGAACTAAAGAGTCCTAGACCACTTGCATAGCCAAAAAAATGTGGCTCTTGAGTGATGTCACAGAAGTAGGAATATCTGCCTGCAAGTAGGGTGGGGAGGTATAAAGGTAAAAATCAAATAACTGAGGAAACACATTTATCACTTAGAATGTTTAAGACAGTGAGTAGGAGAGACAGAGCTTTAGAAAAAGAATAATAAAAACCTTCTTTCAAAATAAATGTAGCATTGTAACAGATCAAAGTGTGTGATTCATTTTGTAAGGAGACTCTGCTTCCCTTTTTTCATCTTTCCACTTTGCAGGATTCAACACTCATTACAGTCCCACAAATAAACAACAAAACCAAAATTCCTAAGATGAGACGCTGTGTCTGCATGTGCCAGTGAGAGAAACGCCGCCCCCTGGTGATCCTCACCACTCGCAGCATCACAGTTCAGGGCAAGCAGCAAACAGCAGGAGCTGAGGCTGGAGAATTCGAACTGCAGTTCCATTTGCTACAATGGAACTAAGCATAATTCAACACTTCATCCTCCAGCTACTAGCTGTAAAGTATTAGAAGTCTCTACAGATCATTTCACCCATGTAGAAAATCCTTTCTAGGTCTTCAAACTGGAGATCAGCCTCATCTTCAGGTTCACCAGGCATCACCTGGCTGTCCTGTTAGGCAGCAAATTGCACAATAGTTCTCTGATGTGCTTAATGGTAAAGTTATGTACAGAAGGAGGGAAAAATACTGGGGGAAGGGGAAAGTGGCAGCACTAACAAGCAGGAAGTGGCTGGAAAAGGGCGTGTATGTGGGGCTTTGCTCCCACAACAACCAAAAGGAATGGTTTCTCTACAAGGCTTTGTGTTGTCTCAGAGTGCTTGCCTTCCTGAGCATGGCTACATTAGTCCAATCACCTTGCAAGGCAGGAATCTCAACTAGCAAGAAAAAATGGCTTTCCAGCATATCTGTCTGCAGTATTTTTCTTTTACGGATTTGGGACTGAACACCCTCCTTCGTGTATAATAAATCTTTCCTTTTAAAAATGGTGTCTGCAAAACAAACTGTTCTCTGCCTGGTAATTCATGATGCAACCCCCAAAGCACAGCCAGCAACCATTTTGCTCTACCTGAGCTACAGAAAATGAAGTTTTAGCTCAAACTGTTTGAGCACTTCCTAGAGAGTTATAGGATTCAGAAGTGCAAGAAGTGGGATTTCTAAGTGGGACTCAGTGCTGTTTAAGCTGTTCAAACTTCAAGTGGAAACTCAGGATATCAGACTTTTGTCAAGTTCAGTACCTTGAAAGACTAAAATCACAATTTTAGCAAAAGCTATGTACCAGTTGTCTGGGATTTCTCTTTTTTTCCCCTAAGTTTTAGTAAATACACCTTCATATCCTGCTGTGTTAACCACACAGAGAGCAGCAATGAACACAATGCATCTTGAGATTCAGCTCACCACCTGCCTCTACAAACGTAACCACAAATGTCAGAGCCTAGGTTTTTCTGTGAGTATAAAGCTTAAAGCTGTTTCTAATTCTCATGACAACTTATACATTCTTACGTGCGATTTACTCATTACAACCCAGAGAAATTACAGCCAGAGCAGTTTCATTTTGTTGACAATGCCTGCCCACATGTGGTCAAAGCAATGCAGAGTTCAGGAACCTTGGTGGATTTTACCTTTAACACAAAGTTTAGTAAAGCAGTGTAGGCTAAACTCGAAAAACTATCATCTCCGAGTCACAGAGATCTGCATCTCTTGGCTGACTGACTTACTAGCTTTTAAACATACCCCTTTCCCAGGTTTTTTGCTTACTCCTCTCCTCCAGATCATCCTGTAGTAGGGTGTTGACCATGGCACCCAAAGGGAGAAACTTCAGTGGAGGTTTTTAGATGTTTATAGATGCAGTGGAGTCTGCATCTACAAAGGGAAACCCAAAAATCACAGATATTCCCTTATTTTCCTCCTTTCATGATTGCTTTTGCAGAACATGATAAAGCATGTTATCTTTGAAACCTTCTTTGCCCTCTGTCCAATTTGGGTAAAATTGATCTTTTGATGATTCATCAGCTGTTTGTACAAATTAAAGGAAATCTAAAAAGAGTGAGAAAGACTTAAAAAAAGAATATGAAAGAAAAACAAGATGATGAATGACAGGTAGTTACATTTACTTTGGAACTAGAGGTGTTTCTTAGATAACCGAGATGGTGAGTCCAGTGTAAGACCAGCCGTACAGCAGCTCTCTTTAAGGCTACAGAGACTGGATAACAAGTGAGTATCCTTCACTGCAAGAAATGTTCCAGGAGATGCATAAAAGTCCAAATAGAAAAACCCAGTATTTGCTTTAAATAATTTAAAAAACCCGCTGACTCTGAGTTTTCTTCTGTTCATAAACTGAGTATGTACAGTGAAACAAAAAAGAAAATGAATGAAGAAAAAAGGCCAAATATTTTAAATTGCTAATCCTATTAATAGCACATCCTGTTTTCCATTTTGGCCGCACTTGTTTCCCAAACTATTCTGCTTACCCAGCTGTAGGTTGTTAAGATTGTATCTTGCAGCTATTATGTCTCAGAGGAAATGCTTGGGTAGGCAATTTAGGTGGATTTTATTTTCCTATTTAATATGGAAAAGTTTTGTGGCTTTCAAAAACAAGTAAGACTATTTCCAGTCACAAAGAGATGCATCAAATCCATAAAAATAGAAGTTTCATATAAAAGCCCTTCACATGCCTTTAAGTACAACAGAGCATTTCACATCTATGTTCACACAGTATGCTCCTGAGATCACTTCACTTTGAAGTACATTAAATTGGAGAGGCATCTGTGCCCATATGCATCTTACCTCACTGTCAGACAAATTATGCTGCAAGTAGTGCATCAATGATAGAAACACTTCTATTATGTGCCTACTTCAGTTAATCAAGGTCTCACTTTAAGATGCAAGAAAAACATCTCAGTGACATTAGGATGGTTACTTTTTACTACATTTACTATAAAGTACTGTTCCTTTCTGTTTCCTTATACTTTTTCTTATTTCTTATACAATGGCCTTAGAGGTAAATCAGAAGTTACAGCTTACAAAGCTCATGTTGTGAAATTCAAACTTGAGTGACCCAGAGGATTTTCTCAGGCATTCTTGGCCCCAGCATGCCCTGTACTAGCTGGCTTACATAAACTGAATGTGATGCACATGCATGCTTACGCACAGTGGTTTTCTTCTAGTCTCTGGTTCTTCAGCTCTACAGAATTTCAAAAATAATTATGGGAACAGTGGATAATTATGACTCAAGTGGCAAATGTCACAGACTGCATACACGGGGACAAAGTATGCACTACAGAACTCAACTGAGATCATAAAAGAAATGTAATTCCTGCTGGTACACCTGGATTTGTCTAGTCTGTGGTTCTATACTCCAACACAGAAAGATGAAAGAGAAGCATCCTTTTTTTTTCAGCCCAATTCTTGTTGATGTAATTTTCCCCCAGAACTCATTAAAATAGTATACACAAAAATAATTTCTTCTTTGGCTAGTTAACATGAGACAATAGGAAAAATTTACATACGAAGCTGGAAAGTAAAAACTCATCAGTTAACGAGCTGAGTATTAGCAAAAAGTAGGTGGTAAACTGCAATGACAATACAAACAGAGCACCAGGCAAAGGTATCCCCTTGGTAGACACAATGATTCACACTCCATACACTGTGTACAGGAGTAAGCTCACAGAAGCAAACAAACCCAGACTTTACCATCGTATCTGCTGGGAGAATCACACGCTTTCTGAGGGGTGGCCACTCGCAGGAATATCTGCTGCCTCCAGGAATGCCTGCGAGTCCTTACGGGGCTGTCCGAGTCAAGGGCCTGCTGGCCGTGCTTGGAGTCGTAGTCGCTGGAAGGGCAGAACACAGAGGAGTGTGTGAGCGGGTCACCCGGCTGTGCCAGAAAGTGTGACACAGCTTGCAGTGACCACACGGCCACTGCCTGGGGACTGCAGTGTGTGGTGCACATGCCGGGCCAAGCTCTCAGTGTTAGGAAGGTGAAACTTGCTTTGTAGCAGAGGCCTACACACGGCTGCAAACAGCGCTGAGGTTCACAAACAGGGACTGGCAGCTCTGAACAGTCTACTCTTTCCAGTTTTAATTAATTTTCAGTTTTATTTGCAGCAGTATGTTAATTAGAACATATTAAAGATACATACACAATAATGTAGCTTTACCATTACACTATTTACCTGCCATTAATGAAACTTAGCAATTGTTCATAGGAGACACAAAGACTTGCTGATGCCTTTTATCAGTACTCATCAAGGAGCTTTATAAACACCAACTAAACTTCCAACCTTCTGTGCACTGGTTATGCAATATATTCCCTCCCAACACAGACTGGGAGAAAACTTTTAACCCTTCTGTTAGCAAGTCTATCTCTGAAATATGCAACAAACTTGGGAACAGAGTCCAAGAACCTTGGATATTACTCCTTTGATGTCATCCACACATGCCTTACAGAGGTTTTTTAGTCAGAATATAAAATGAAATAGTGACGAACAATGATGTTTTCCTATTAAAAATCCCACTAATAACTTTAATCTGTTAGAACTCTAAACTATTCATTGTTTAAATATTCTAAACTTTATTCCAGCCACTGGCTAAATGGTTACAAAAGTCTTTGTAGAAGCTGAAAGGGATAAATGAAATCCAGATAGCTCTGGCAGCAACAGGGAGAAGCATTTTACAGGTCATCCTCTCCTTCCAATTTGAGGACACTGACATTGCTTAGGTTGAATCATATATTCCCTTAACTGAAAACTCTTTTATGTCAAGAATAATCACAGAAGTAAATAGATGGAAGTTGTATGACCACTGCAACATAAAAATGGCTAAGATCTGCAATCTTAAGGGGAGAGTAGTCTGGGATAGCTTCATCCTTTTGACAGCCATTACATGCAGAATACACGCAGGTGAACTGTTGCACAAATCAGGTTTTGCAAGTGCAAGAAGCATTTAAAATATTTCAGACAAAGAAATCTTTGAAAATACAGTTTTACCTCCAGGCTTTAAGAGAGAACCCTACCTTGTTGTGCTCCTAAAGTCAGAGGTGTTATTTTCATCTACAGGAGCCAGAAATTTTAAGAAATTTGGCACAGAAGAAGAAGAATGAAGCTTTTTCCTTAAGGCAGTACGGTAGGAGATGCTGAGAGTGCAGTTGGGAAAAGTATAGTTTAGAACAAAGAAGTATAAGTCCACAGAATAAAAATAATACAAAATTCCTAAGTCTCAAACAAAAGACAGCTAAATCCAGGAGGTCCGAATATCAAGGAATCCAAAGTCAAAACTAAAACTGCTAACAAAGTCCTATTTTGAGGTACATATTTGTTTGGGCAAACTAAAACGTTCCAATGTATATAAATGCATTTCCAGTAAAATTATTATTCTTTGCTATATCCCAAGATTTTTAGGGCATGTTTCAAATAAATTCCTTTAATCTATTAAGAACCAATGCCAACTTCATCACATTTTCTTAAATATCAGTTTCAATGACCAACTAAATTTGAGGGAAAAGGTTAGGAAAAGTTGACACTGATAATCATTGTGCTAGCAAATGAAAAATAAGACTTTGGCAAAAACTCTTTTGTAAAGCATTACCAGGGTTTTATTTAGAAAAACTTGGAACTTTTAAGTTAAAAGCTAAGTCTTCTGACTAATCATTCAGGGTTGTGGCTCTATTTATGCAACAGACAGGAGCGCTAATCAAATTTCATCAACAGTCTTCTGGCCAAAATATTTATTCTAAAGAAATTCTTTTAATTTAAAACAATTCTACAATTGTCTTTTAAAATAAGTCTGAAAGATACTCAGACGCAGGTTAATAGAACGAAATAAGAAAAAAATCAGACAATGAAAAGTTTTTGCATGGAGTGAAAATATAGAAAACTGCTTGGCTGATGATACTATAGACCTTTTCTCAGACACAAAATCACATGAGTAGGAGAATTGACTCCTAAAAAAGTACGTTTAAGAAAGAATTGTTTCTGAAAAACCATAATGTTCTATCTGGATGGCATTTAGCAATGTTTCCTGAAGATGTGAATGGAAGTGGGGGGGTGGGAGGGCAGGGGAGAGAATACTTTGGGATAATCACTAGCATCAAGTGAAGCAGATTCTTTAGTAGCTGGCATTGACATAAAGACGATAAGGCCGTAGCATGGTGTGCCCTGCAAACAGGGTTCACTTACAATTACATTGTAAATCCATTACAATTACATGGTAGTTCCACTTACATAATTAGGAAGATTGACTGTATTGATTTAAACTCATTAACCCATTTGACATCCCTAGCAATTTCCATTTTCAGTCTTGTTACTTAGATGTTCAATATGGCATAATCCTTAAGAGACAGGGAAATGAAAGGTGTAATTGCAACGGTGTGTACAGAATCATTACCAAATCACTTGGAAAAATTTGCTTTGAGAATTTAACCTTCAGGATTCAAGTAAATCTTATTAAATTAAAGAATGAACAGGACTCTGCAGACTCATTTCCTGCCCTGAGCTATGTCATACTTCTGAGGTAAAGCTAAATTAAGAGATGCTAGTTAGTACTCAGCAAGTACAACTGAAGAATCTGGTGAAACAGCATCCTCAGTTGAATATTTTCTCAGGTTTAGAAAATCAGCACCTTAGGGAAACAGGAAACTTTCACATGGGAGAACAAAAACAAAAAATAAACAGCAGCAGCAACAAAAATTGCTTGCCAATGGCCAGTGACTGTTGACAGAGCTTCTGAGGACATTTGGTCTCATTAGCCTTTTGAGTTAAAATAAGCAGTTTTAGCTCAAGGGGTTAAGAAAGACTTTCACAGTTTATGATATTTAGGGAGCCACTTAGTTTCAGGTTCTCAGGGAAACGAAGTGCTCTTCAATGTTCTCTCTCTATATTTTAATTCTAAGAAAGCATGGGAAAGCATAATTTGATACTGCTGTAAGTAACCAAGACAAATGATGGGTTAATGGGCTGGAGTTTTTGTTTATTTGTTCTTGGGTTTTTGTTTTGTGAGAAGTGGGGATGGTGGTGGGGTGGTATGTGGTGGGTTTTTTTCCTATCAGCTCTCCATATTCCTGCTGCTTCTTGCCCCATGTAGTTAACTTGGTCAACCTTCATTTAATGTCAGGCACAAAAGAATAGTAGTGTGCTTTTGTGTTACCATGAACAAAGAACAGAACCAAACGCTTCAGGAAGGACAAAGTGAGCTCTCAGGTTCTTGGCAACTTATCCCTCACACAATTTAAAGAGTGCTGCTGTCTGCTGCATAACAACAAATTGCTTTGGAACAACTGTGTCTAAAGAAAGAACCAGTGTCTGAAAGAATCTGATTGATTAAAACAATAAATTATGTAAGTACCAGCTCTACATCCAGTAGTGGAGCAGTTAAAGACCTCCCTCTCCCAGAAAAAACTACCACCTCTGGTCTATACTAAACCATTTCGATTTTTTATGCTACAGAGTTTCACATTTATGCAATAGGAAAACAAACCCTACCCCAAACTACTTGCAGGTACTAGCTCACCTTTTTTGTGGAAAATGCCCACTTGGTTCTCCACTTGAATTATGTCTTAGATATTTTAAAAAGTTGGGTGAAGAGGCCGAGGGATTAAGACGAGCTAGAGTAGGAGAACGTGCAAGTTGACCAGAAGAACTTTTTAGATTTGCCGACAGATTCGTTCACACCATATAGAGCGGATTCCAACCAGAGCGATGGAGTTGAGGTAGCACAGAGAACAAAACCGAAAGAAAGGAAAGGAGGGGAAAAAAAAAAATGAAATCCCTTCTCTAATCTTTGAAAGGGAAATGGCATATGTAAATGAGACATTTCCTATGTTTTTCACAGTTAATGCAGTAACTAAGAACAAAAACTTTTTTTTTAACCCAATTAGCAAAGTTCCAAATTCATGTTTACAGGATTCAGTAAGGCATTTCAGAATATGACTAATTATAACTCATCAAAAAATGGCACTAACACCTCAATTTCTTTTTACTTATATGTGCTTCCCCTTGATTTCTATGATAAAGTCAGGCATATGATCAAGAGTTCCAATGAATGAGAACTGAAATGCTATAGGAGGAACTAAATTTAGTTCTACTTTGAAAACCATTTTTGAATGAGGTAAGCTGTTCAAGAACACTCATAAAACAGGACTTGTTAAAAGTCTATAACACATGATTTTTGAGAACTTTAAAGTACACTTGCTTGTAAGTTTTCTGTTTCCTCTGTTTCTGTATATTTGCTATGAAATAGAAGCAATAGGGATTTCTTTTGGGTTTGAGTTATATGAGGGAGCAAGCACACTCAGGACTTACTAAAAATTATATGACCAAACATAAATAACCAAGAAAATAAAAAATATACTTAATTTCTAGCTGCATTCCTATAGTAAGATAATAATTGATTGAACAAGCAGCTACAAGTTCTAGGGCAGCTCTTGTGAAGATAAGAGACTAACAAGTCCTAAATTGCACTACAAAAAACATTCTATAGTACTTTAGGAGTAAAGAGGTTCAAAAAATGGCCAAAAAGGCAACCCAGGTTATGCTTCTTTTCAAATACTATAATTCTCTTTTTTTTTTCCACTGCCATCATCCATTTCAGGCATATTGACTTACTGCCCTGCCTCCTGCAGGAAAAGAATATGCTGGAACACAGAGATTTCCTATTAATTTATGCAAATGAGCAGTTTGGGCAGTAAAACAGACGCCTATAGACAGAACTGTTTCAACAGTAATTGGAAAAACCAGATAGAATGAAGGGAGAAAACTGCCATAAAGTAAGAGAGGACTAGAGATGCAGAGGCAGGCATTTGAAGGAGGACAGCTTGAAGAATATTCATATTAAAGCAAGTGTTTTTGTGAGTAAAATCTAGATAGGCTCATTGAAAAGCTAGACAGAAGCCTCACCTCTACCAATAACTAAGCACTTTAAGACACTTTAGGGTGCTGTTTCAATACTACATATGAAATCACCAACCAGTAAGGTTTTCAGGATCACAGAGGTTACTGGATTTTTCTCTCTAAATAGAAACCAAGAAGTAGCATTTATTTATACCTCTCACAGATCAAAACAACAAAATAATTGCTTGGATAAATATAACCGAATCGACCAGTTTTGTGACATATATTGCAGAACTACACATCTCATGTGTAGCACACAGGGTTAAAGGTATTTTAAAAAAGAATACCTACAAACCTCCAAGGAGTGACACACTGCTGCAACACATCCCTTATCCATTAACAGGACATACCTGGTATGCAATTATCATCCCCAAATATGCCCTCAACAAACAAAATCATAGCCTGCTTTTAATAAGGCTTACTTTATTTTGTGAGGAGTCTCTGTGCTCACTGAGTGATACCTCATAAGTTTTCTCTGAGGAACAGATGGTGATGTTTCGACAGGTCCCAGAGATTCCTGGCTCTCTGTTGGTAAATGACTCAGTGTGTTTGCTCGCCTCCGAAAGCTCTGCTGGGGCAACGTAACAGACTGCTCCAGAGAGGAAACCTCTGTGTCACTGCAGACATCACCCACTGATCCACTGGCTTTGACAGCATTTTCTGCAGGAAGCACAGGAAGTCTGTCTTTCTCCTTTTCACACAATGGTGGCTCCTAGCAGTGCAAGAAATAAGGTTATCAATGTATGGGCTTAGAATCCATCTTTGTGATTGCAGTACCATGTCATTATTCACATCCATAGATATCTGCTCCAAACACACATTTTTATCAAGCTAGGTCAAAGAAAGATGTTTCATGTTTTTGTCCTTGTTATTCATCACTTAGACCAACAAAGCAGAGTCTTTATTTTGCAGAAAAAGTTTTGAATAATTTTGAGAGTAATTGTATTTTATAGCATGTTGAATACAACTCAGAAGAAATAGGCTCAGAACAAGAGGGTGAGGTTTGGCTAACAGTTTAAAGGGTGGTATTGCAGAATGCTGTATCTTTAGCAACCCATCTAACCATATAATATTCCTTTTGTCTACCTGCAGATTCACACAAAGAACTTAAGCTAATGACTAGATGCCTGTTTCAATCCCAAACTATGCATTTTCTTTATTCCTGACGTATGTTTCCTGCAGAATCAGTGATTCTTTCAAAAACATAAGCAGAAATAGCAGACCTTTGTTTACATGACATTAGGAGTCTGCAGGTGAGCAGGCATTACAGCAGAATCAATAGTTGTATATCTAAGCCTGCAGAGTGCTATACTGCCTCCAGGGAAGAAGACTGGCTTCTCCCATGCTGTTTGCCTGTATTGTTTTCTACAGACTAAAAACTTTCTGACCACACAAACAGGGAAGTTACTCTACTTCTTGTTTTAGTTTTATGTTTCTTATTAATACAGTCCTGCATTTATGGTATGAACTCTCAGGGCTAAAACCAGTCAGATGAGGATCAGCAGAATGGTCATTATGGCACTTGTTTTGCTGCACACTCTTGTAAAATTCAGATGATGTTATATATTATTTCACATATATTCACATACAAAATATGTTATTTACAGTACAAGGAATTTCTAATTCAATAGCACTTCTCTGCTTTATAACACAGGGAACAGAATGAAAATCTTGAAAGCAACTTGAAACATTTCACATTTGACCATAATTCACACTTGCTTAATTGTTTCAGGGAATATTTTTCAAAGTGTCTAAATATGTACAATTATTCCAGGCTTTACTTACTTTATTTGTGCTGCTTAAGGTACTGGACATAGAGCTCTCCAGATCCACAGAACCAGACCTGTCCAGTGGACCTCTGGCTTTACTGCCCTGTAGAAATAAAGCACATCAGCAGTTTAGATTATGATACATAGGGCACACCAAAGAGATTTGGGTAGCACAGTCGGGATCTGTAATTTTCACAGACAGTATCAAATTTAATTTCCTGAAATTCCTAAAAATACCCCTTTTCCCTATGGAAAACAGAAGCTTCATTCAGAATAGTCTCTGTCAACTTTAAGGATCCTGTAGAATTAAGGAATTCTCACGGGCAATGATGTGTTTTCCATTATATGTACATAATCACATATTTCATATGTAGTAGAACTGTTACAGTACCTTCTGTATTAGGTACCTACAAAGACATATTTTACAAAGGACTAAACCCATATAAATTTAATATACAGGAAAACATAATTTCTGCTATTATCATTTCAGTGCCTATAAATCAGAAAGCATAAATATTCTGTAAAATCTGTGAACAGTATTTTTGTATCATTTGAGTAATGTTTTTGTGTAACCAAGAAAAATATCTGATGGATTCTGATGTGCTAACACAATTATAGAACTTGTATCTTCCTAATCTTAAACCATGTAATTTTTAATGTTCTGAAGTTAAAGCTCATGTTCTCTTTGAAGTTTATTCCCAGCTAAAATATAAAATGTTGTTGTTATTCACAACAGTGACTATATCTCTTTGAAGTTCAGCCAAAACTTCTGGCTTCAGATCTGGCTTCAGATTCAAAATCAAGAGTTTCCATCAAAACAGCAATGCCAGTGAAAATGCAACCAATGTACAGCTATGCTTATATGAAGGCAGCTTATACCAGTCAGGACAACTGAAAGAAAATTAGATCAGTACTACAGCTAATGTAACAACACTAACATTATGTTCCATATCCCGAGCACAGCTGCAGCAGGGTTTTATACGGGTGAATTCTAGAAATGCTGTCTGGGAAGTAACGAGAGGAGATACGAAACTAAAACTCACCTCTATATGTACAATTGTAACAGTAAAACAATGCTTTTGTTATCATTTGTCTTAAGAGAATGGGCTAGATATGATGTCTGAAACAAGCTTTGGAAATCGAGTTTTGTCACTACAAGTTGCTTGTCTGTGAACTAATAAATTCTACTAGATATTGCTTCAATGTAACTTTTTGCTGACTACAAATGAGAATGCACTGTTTCTGTTCCTGAATATTTGTTGTTTGGCATTCTGTCACAACTCTTTTTTTGATGGGAGAAGGTCTGATTTTTTAAATCCTTTGTCAAGCAGACGTCTTTACAAACCTCCTACTGTTTTCCTCAGACTTCTATCATGAGGTTCAAAATAAAGTATATTTGAATAAGACACTCAATAGATTTAAATTGTTATTAAACTTGACATCTGATTTAATTTCCAACTGCTCCTGTTTACTTTCAGTGGCTAATTTCAGTGATCTGTTCATGATAAACATTTTCATAGAACCACAGAATTAACCAGGTTGGAAAAGAATCACTACCACATAGAAGCTCAAGTTTTTTCCACTAATCAGTATTTCCAGACACTGTCTACAGAGAATTGTACCAGCTGTAGTATTGCCTAGATGCCTTCATGCTCTTATTCCTCACCTTCAAATAATCTACGGGATTTAAAAGTTCAGCTATCACACTATTCATCAATTCTGTGTCACTAAGAAACACATCTCATTAGAAATGCTTAGTCAGCTCCTCAGTAGTTTCCTTCTACATAAAGTGAACAATTATAATTACTGTTTTAATTTTCTAAATCCAAAAAAGAAATAAACTGTTGCTTTTCATAAGTCCTCATGTTAACTTCATATTAATTTTTTGAAATGCCTATATACAGGCTTTCTTATGTAGGAATTAGTTCACTTCATCCACGACTTGGTATTCTCTCTACCAAAGCCCTGCTTTTTTTGTCTTCTAAAATGTACAGTCAAATATTTTTGACACTGTGACTTTAATAACCTTTGGGCTACAGCCTGGAATGATAACAAATAAGACCCTTCTATCAAATAAACAAAGCAATGACATTATGTTCAAAGACAATAAACATGAAGATACTTACACGTGATAAAATATTTTCAAAAGATTCTGTAAGAGACCTTTTCGCTTTGTTCTTTAACATGTCTAATCTGAATCTCGGAGCACTGCTGGACACTTCATTTGCAGCATTCTCAGCAGGAGGTTGTGAAGCCTGCAAGTGTTTAAAAAAAGAAATACAAAATACTCAACAGCATGGAAAAAATCTCAGTGAACATTTTGAAGACTTCTATAACCTAAATCAATAGCTTTTCTTGGTGTCCTCTACTTGACATGCCTTTTTCTCTAGTGATACTTGTACTGAAGTTTAACAGACTATCCTAAAATAAGGAAAGGAAATCTCTTACAGGAAATATGTTGAGTGAACTAGCATGCTTGAGAAGAATTACCGTTTTAATACGGATTTACAGCTCTGTTGACAAATTTTCATTTACGCCAATGTAGAATTGTACAAATTCTAAACATTGAAGTGTAACAGATTAGAGATTTCTCATGGATTTCCTTTTCTTCAACCAATAAATGAATCAAAATCTCATCATTAACAGAAACTCTCAACTTTCTTCATTGTAGTAAAATGGGTCTTTCTAAGGGCCAGGAAGATGTATAGCAATCTAACTCTTCTATATATTTCACCAGTAGAAATATTTCCACCTTAAAACTAACAGTCAGTTGAGAGTTTTTCTTCTTAAATAAATATTTCAGTTCATTTTTGGTGCTGGTGAATACTAATTCACGAAACATTAGTATTATCCCTGCTTGTCCCTAAATTCAGAGATCTGAATGCTTGATCTGTGCAATTAATATTACTGGGCAGCTGAATGACGTAACTGTCACCAAATTGTCCTGTCTATATGTAATTTTAAAACATCCTATCTCCAGTATGACAACTTTACAGGCTCCTCTATTTTCTTCTTACCTTCTGTCCTGGTTATGCCAGGACAAGGTTAATTTTTGCAGTAGCCACGAGGGGGCATGCCCAGGACCTGAAGGATATTTTATACCATCCGTCATTGCTGGAGGGTATGGGCTCTTTCCAGTCAAATCAATGTATCAGCAGGGAGCCTTCCAGTACTGCCTATCACTGCGGGGTGGATTCCGTGTGAATAATTTCTTTTCTTTTCTTGTACCCTCTGTGGCTAATATTGGTGGTATTACTGGTCCTTTTCTTACCTCATTGCTGTTTCCAGTAAATTATTCTTATCTCATGCTTTTTGCCTTTTGTGCCTCCAATTGTCCTCTCCATCCCACTGCAGTAGGTGCCTGGCTTGGAGAGTCTTGGTGGGGGCACTGAATGGGCAGTACCATTCCTAAGCCACGTCACCTTTCCTCATCTTATTCTCCAAGGGTAAATCAGATGCTGCTTGCTATTACATTCTTATGAAAAGACACTCACTTTGAAGTGTTTTTGTTAAACAAGATCCGTGTACTAGCATCACATTTCATCTTTTTTCTCCTGATTTAAATATATTTTTTAAGATAGGCAATGAAAAGCATGAAAATGAATATGCAGAACAGAAGGGAACAGGGACATCAGGGTGTCATGGGTTATGATTGCTGAGACAAATAACAGAGTATGTGTTCAAAGGTATCTGCTATTACACAGGCCTGGAGATAAATTATTAGAATAAATATAAAATATTATGCTGAGACAAATGATGGACTGAGGGGAAGTCAGTTCTCTTCTTAGAACACTGGCATCTTTGCAAGTGTCAGATTAACCAATTTGGTTCAGGAACTGGACAAACAGATTGCAGCAGGCCTTATAAATTTTCAAATCATTGAAGACATACTAAGATCTTATCTCGCTTTGTATATCACTATTTCCAAGCTGTCTGTAACTGACAATTATTTGACCACCAGCTAGCATTACACCAAATCAAAATATATCACCTATGATGACAGAGGACCTCAGGCAATGTTTCTTCCTTTTATCCCACAACTGAAATGCTTTTTTCTTAAAAGCATATTTCTGGTGAGATGCCCAAGACAATAAATCAGAGAGTGAAATATGCAATTTTCTTTCTGTTTACTGAGGGAGGTAAATAATTAGCTAGTAAGCCATGAAAGGAGAAGAGATTAACAAAGTGAAAATACAGTAAAGGAAGATTTGCTGCTACTTTCCTAATTTTTTCACAGGTGTAATTATTCTCTATATATTCATTTGCTAGTTTATATCACAAAGAGCTGACAGCAATCATCACAGTGGAATTATCAACCAATAGAAGAGGGACAGTCAAGACTTCTAAGAGGGTCTAAACAATTGCAACTGAAAGTTTCCAGAGAATGGATGGAATCCTTTTAATACTAACCTCCTTGAGTTGTCTCAAGGTAGCTACTCACAAACCAAGGTATCCAAAATCACTAATCCCTTCGGAAAAACCTTAAGTGTACTGTATAAATAGCCAGTTAAGCAGCATTGATGGAACCTCACAGAGAATAAAAGGTAGCTCATCTCTGTGGACATGGATAAGTCTCTGCTGCCATTTCTGCAGCAATCCTCCTCATTTTAAGGCCACTTACACAAGAAATAACTTTCAGTCCTGGGTAAATGTAATAGGCTTTATTAACGATCAAATCCAATGTGTTGTCATTTCAGACTCAACACTGACAGCGAGATGGCAAATGCTACAGACCAGCTGAGAACAATCACAAATTCATTATATATTCTCTAACATATATTGAATTTTCATTGCAGTGAGAACAAATAAACAACTTAGTAGTCTGCCTTGTTTGCACCTCTGTCTCCTAGGCCTGAAATCAGACTGTACCAGGGACCTCAAATTCACAGATATCTGTTTTGGCAGATGACAATAGTTTATGAACCATAAGCACACCCAGTATTCACCACTGCTTACACAATGAAGTTTCAAATTCAAGTGATGGAAATTTGCCTTTGGAAAGAAATAAAAAATCAAATGGAACATTTTTGCCTGGCTTCTCCTTACATGAACTAAAATAGAATGATTACTTACCTGTTTTGCTTCTCCAACATGAACATGGTCCTTCTGTTTTTCTTCATATATGTTTCTCAGTAGAGAGATAACCAGCTCATTTTCTTTTTGTTCATTTCGTGGTCTTAATTTCTGTAATTGAAAACACCACAAGCAGAATAATTATACATTTGTGTAATAGTTAGCAAATATATATGCTTTTCGTTTGTCACCATAATAAATCATCAATGTAGGAATAAGTTTAGTCTGTTAATGCTACTACTCCAGTCCACCAGAGGACACCAGTGTTCCAGGCAAAGCACCAGTACAGCCACGAAAACACCTCACCTCACTTTATACACGACAGAATTTACACCTAAGACAGAGAACAACTGTACAAATATCAAATAAAGGCTTTAAAAATATTTTTGCCAATTTTCTTTTGATATAAAGAAAACTGAACCACTGTAGTTCTGAGTTTGTAGCACACATGGAGTACTGTCCTAGAGATAGGATTCACTATGCTTCTACTAGAAATCCTTCACACTGGACATTTAATTTGTGGGAAATGACAAAGGTTTTTTTATATATTAGTGCACAAGGTGAACATGTTTATCTGTGCCACATTTTGTTTAGATCTGAATTACTGTAAGAGAAGATTTTAAAACAATTTATTAAAGAATTTAATCCCAGAAACTTAACTTTTGAAAAACATATGCTGCCTTAAGCCTATTGATACAATGCAGAGGTTACAGTATGAATCAATGCCAAGGTAGCACATTAGATTAATAAAAATGCCACAGGAAGACAGTGACCTAAAAATGCAAATCATGGTAACAATACATGGATCTGCAAGAATGCAACATTCCAGGCTGTCCAACTGAAAAAGCTAGCTGAGAAAGATGGGCAGGGGGTTTGTACTTTACCCTTAGTTTTACCAAGTTAATCGTTTGCAGAACCTCACCAGAAGCAATTAACAGTTTCCTGTGACTACTAGAAGCTTTAGACTTTGTGCAAACACTAAAAGGCACCAGTGCTGCTAGCTGCCTTATGCTAAGAAACTACTTAGCTCATGGAATTGGTCCTACAGAACAACTTCCAAATTTGGTATTGAGTGATACCGTGGAAACTCACAGAGACTCAAATGACTCAAGAGAGGAAGGAAACATTTTTTGAAAAGACTGAAATTTCTTTATCTTCAACAGTGTGTCAATTCCAGTGACATTTCCTACAATGCATATCATCTGTTTTAAATGCAGCTATGCTTTCCTCTGTCCTGAAATAGATTTAATTAAGAAGATATCAAGTTTAACTTCTTTAGTTAGTTTGATAAGAGTTAAGATCTAGAACAAATTTTAGGCCAGAAATTTTATGATCTGGGAATATTACAGTAATTTGTTTTGGTCAAAGTAACAGTCTGAATTCCCTCACAGTACAAGTTACTGCCTTCACCCATAAAAAAATGTGTTCAGTTTTACTCAGTGACAAGTCAACATCTTCATGGAAAGCAAGGAGTATTAGGGGAAGAAAAATGAGTAAAACAGTCATTTTCATCAAAGGTAAGTTTTTAACAGCTCTAGAAAAACAACTGAAATTAAAGCACAAGCTGGCTAACAGTCTATTATGCAAAAATAATGAATGATTCACAAAAAAGGAAAATAACTTATGTTAGCAAAAAACAAAACTGCTTTAAAATCTTGTAGGAAACAAAGCTTACCTGAACCTCTTCAAAAACAGAGGCTTGTTCCTGGTTATTTAGTGTAGTTAGATGCTTTTGTAGTTCTAGTTTAGTCTTAGAAGGGTGCAACCCTACCAAAAGGAACATAAAGGAGCAAATTACAGGGTCAAGTTTTTCAGAATTAATCAATCAATCATATAAATATGCTCACTATTTAAGCCAAAGCGTGTCAAATATTTGAGCTGGCCCTTTCCAGGATTTCATAGAGGGCATTAGAAAGAACTCTAGGTTAATTTAAAGCTATTATTAAACTCATGTCTTTAAAATGAGGGACATGAACTTTGCAATGAGGAGATTTACTGAGCACAGACCAGGATTATACTCTTAGCTGAAGATTCCATTATCACCCAAAATAAAATAAACCCACAATCTACTGCATTTTAGCAGACTGTTTTGTTAGTGTTTTGTGCAGTGGTGTTTGGATTTTGTTTATGGTATAAATAGAATTCCCTTTCATTTTCTTCAATTTCTATGCTGTGGGCCTTCTGAAACGAGTAAATTTATTGCTTGTTAGTGAAGGTCATACTTTGCCTCTTGATGAAAACATTTATTGACAGTCTAAAGCAGACTACCCTTTCATTCAGATTATGTTTTCTATTCTCATCCTGGATTAAATTCCTTTCCTCTATTTTTCTGTGGAAAAACAGCAAACCATCAACAGTACTGTGCACTTCAGTTTCATATCATGGAATACCTCCTTCAGAAGCAGATGATAAGATTAATAAGATGGCATGATTGAAGGCATTAAGGAACATTTGCCTTTCAGAAACTTCCCAAAAATCACAGCTAGCTCAAAACCAAAATAGAGTGAAAGTAGGTTTGGAAGTTTTCCAGTATCATCAAATTAACACTAGGCAGGTTTTAGTCCAGCAAGCCACTGTCACGTGATCTGACAAAGCTGCTGTTGCCCTTTATTCACCCCAAACATCACTTAATGAACAAAATCTAACTGTGAAATTTGCTGAAATATAAAGAGGTTTATTGTGTCTTGAACTTCTGTTCTGGACAATAACTACAATTCTAATTTCTGCATTTTCATGAAGGAGCATAGATCAACATCACAAACACACATATTAAAAGCATACTATTCAGTTCCTGCTTAGTGACAGCATAATGCCAGTTGCTAAATGGATTCAATAGGATAGCAGGTCATAGTTATTGCAGCATCTATCCTTCAGAGGTTCCTTATCTAGAGTCTTCTGCATTTATAGGGCTAATTGAGCCTAAAAAGCTGCAACTCACTAATGTTTACGTTTGTAAGCAGTTTTCAAAAATTCAACTAAAACACAATAAATGACTTTAACTCTTGTTAGAAAATTCTGATTACTTTACAGAAAACCTGACACTACAGTCCTCTACATAAAAGTATTGGTTTTCAACTTTCCACCCCAAGTCCCAAGCTCTTTTTAAGCACTAATTTCCTTAGAATTTTACATATTATCCCCCAATGAAACTGCCAGAAAAAATATTCAATCAGAAAATTCTTTAAACCTTACCTTCTATCTTTTCACAGAGTTTATGCAAACTTTGCATAGGACACCCTTCACAGAGCTGGGGCTGTGCCTTGGAAGTTTGTTGCACAGCAGCCACAGTGAAAGCCTGTTTCAATGTCATCATGATTTCATCAACCTGAAAAGCATGGCATGCAAAAGAACAGAATTTCTCTCTTCCACTGTTTTCCTTAACACAAACACAACAATCTTTTAGAATGGTACTGCCCCTTGCTTGTGAATGTGCTTATGATTAAAAAGACAAGTTGTTCCTATGCTGGTTCTGTGCACAAACATACAAGCATGATAAAATTCTTAATGAACTCATGTCTCTTCCAGACCACCCAGTTTTATTACTGTAGTCTAATGAAAGATCCCACCCTCTATCTCAAACTCCTTTCTTGTCTATGATAAAAAAGCTTACTGCAGTTGTGATGCACTGGCCTTACTTAGAGCACAGGAGTCTAGTCCTGATTCGTCAGAACAGGTGCCCTAAGAGAAAACTCTCCCCAAAAAAGAGGCATGGGGTCTAGCTAAGTTTGTGAAATGAAAGGAAGATTTTGTAGATTTTAAAGAGGATTTTAACTTCTGCCCTCAAAACAAATGAAAAGGTCTCTTGCAGACTGCTATACTAGTTACAGTTTTGAAATACTTATATTTCTGAGCGGAGTAGGATTTGAAGACATTAAGCAAAACACAGAAATGGAGCAATAGAAGACTTTTAGGGCCTAATATTCTATTTGGCTATTCTTTTCTTTCACTTACCAATGCTTCATCTGTACACTGAAACACATAGCAAACAAAGTGGAAGCCTCCATTTTCTGAAGACTCTCTGCAGATGAACCCAAAGTGATCCACATGTCTAATTCCCTAGCAAAGAAATAACAGCAATGAAACAGTCATATCTACTTTCAATGTTTTGTATCTGTATTTCTTTCAGGAAGAAAGGAACAAAATAGCATTACATACAGGTCACTTATCTCTCTTACAGCTACATTAAAGACATCTGGCCATTAAAATTCTGTCCTGTTATAGAACCTAATACTTCATTAATCTTTTGAATTTCAACTAAGTCAGACATAGTTTGGATTTTGTATTGTTTTTAATGGATGAAGTATAAAAGACCCACATATCAGACACAGAGATTAATACACTCAAAATGTATTTTACTCTGAAATTTTCAGAATATGTGCCTGTATGTTTAGTGATGAAAGCTATTGTCATCAAATTAAAAACCAAAGTAATTTATAGAAAACAAAACCCACAAAACAAACCTAAAAACCGTAGGCAGAAGGACAGAGAAGCAAACTCTGTAGCACAAGGATCAGGGATTAGTAGTGAATAAGGTGAATAAGGAGGCTCTGACACTTGCTTGCCCTCAGCACATCACATACACTACCTCTGCATGGAAGAGGACTGTCCTTTTTTAAATACATGAAACTTATATTCTTGAAAAGAACATACTTTTTAAGCATTTTTCAGATAACTCTTACATATAATTTTTCTCCTTTCACTGTTACTTCTTGAAAAATGTGGCTCAGAGATCCCAAGGTTTGCACAACTGTGAATCATGCTCTCAGCAATCTCAAATAAGAGTGTGTTCCTGACCAGTGTGTTCCTCCTAGCTAGTATTATGCATCCACTGCACACAGAAGTGAGTCTTTATCTGAGAAATCACAATGCAAAGCATGAAAGAAGAATGATGTCTTATAAAATTACTTATTAATTAGCAACTTTTCAATAGGAATCACTGAAACTGATTGTTGAGAGAATCCACGTGGAGTGCAAGGAGAAAGGATTACATGAGCATTCACAAGTAGAAAATATTTAAACAATTAAAATGAGAAAAAGAATACACTACAATCTTACCTGAGAACAAAAGGATATTTCTTTAAAGCTTTTCTCAATTGCGACTTTTTTTGTGTCAGGACTGATAAGGTAAACTTCAGACTGGCCAATCTAAAAAGAGCAAAATAAATTGCAAAGTGCTAACAAGTAACATTACACTTCCTTTTGTCCCACTATAAAAATGCTTCCTGAATATAGATCTCAAATTTTTTTCTACCTGTATATTTATACAAGTTAGCATATTACTACCAGAAAGAACAGTGAAGCAGCACTGATTTGGCATTGAGAGCTCTGCACATTATGGCATTGAGGTTTAACGAGACAAGAAACAGAAAATAATGTTCAAACAGATGAGAACAATGTTGTGTCACAAGTAACCTACTTTGCACTGAGATATACTCACACTCCCTTTCCTTATTATCTGCAGTCTTGGAATGTACCACAGTCACAGAAGCTACTTAATGAGAGTGCTCTGAAACTTAAATCCAAGTGTGTGCCTCTTCCTGTACTCCACCTAATAATTTTTTAGAGTTTTATTTATTTATTTATTTATTTATTTATGGCACACATAACATTTAATTTAAAGCACTTAACTCAAAATCTATACAAATAAATCTACTGGAGTATATTTTCTAAGGTAATTTAATCTGTAGGCCATTTGTACAGTCAAAACATGATGATAAGTATTGATGGCCAAAAGGCATTTTTAAGGTGAAACTGTTTCATTTTTTCAGCTTCTGGCAACATCTTTGTAAGATAGTAACAGAAAAATTTAAATTCCTAATATTTTCTAGCACATCAGAGACTGCTAAAAACAAGTCTCATATCAGATTTTAGTAAGGCAGGTGGAATTTGGATCCACTGATGAACATGACTTAGAGAAACCTGCTTCAGTCACTACCAAATCCCAAAAGATGCACATAAAACCATCAGCAGCACTGATGTAACTGTACTTTCCTAAGAAAGGAGGAAGGGACAAATCTTATGTGTAAATAGATCAAGTCAGATGTGCCACCCTCTGTACGTCTAAAAATGGTCCTATGCATCCACCTTCCACCTCTTCTTTCACTTAATCAGTCACAATGGTTTTCCCCAGATGCCTGCTGGTTTTCCTGCATTGTCCCTGGGGCTGATCTTGCCTCTGTTCATGGGGCTATTCCTTCCAACACCTCCTGATTGCTGCTGTCTTCCCCTCCCTGCACCAAGAGAGAGGCTCCTTCTTATTGCTCAGTCCCACATAATTCTTTCACATTTGGCCCCTGGGCAACAGTGATCGTTTGAAGTTAACTGAACATGGGGAAAAAGCCCAAACCACTGAACCTCTTCCCACTCACCCCCACTATACAGCCAGAAAAAAAACCCTAAAAATACCCCCTCCTCCCCCCCAAATCCTAAGAAACTGGCTAGGAAAGCAGTTCTTCAGGAAGATATATGAAAATCAGGACTGTTTCAATCAGGTGAGGAAAGCTCGCAGATAACTAATCTGAATACTTTTCACACCTCATGCATCAACTAATCTTTGCTTCAGTCCTGGGGAAAATCTAAGTTACCAGCTGAGAATACACCAATCATTTTTTTCCCCTCTGGATATTAAGTAACTTGTAAGCATTTCATATGTAGCCACACACAAACTGATGAGACCTGAGCACGCTGCCTGCATTCCCCGACTCAACACGGGAGACAGGCAACCAACAAACTCAGCTCTGCCATCAGCTGCTGCCTGTGGATACTGAAGGCTAGTTACTTCACTTCCATATATTCAGCTGAATATAGACTGGCTGAATACAGAAAGAATACAGCTGTGCATACTGAAACAATATTTTCCCACGCAAAAAGCAACTCAAGACACAAAGCCAGATCAGCAAAGCCTCACAATTCGGAAATGTGCCTGCAAGTAGGTGACTGACATTACATTCAGGCTGAAGCTGCAGGTGTCTTTGAGAACCACTGCATCTATTTAATATAAATTAAAAATGTACTCACTGGAGTAAGTACCTTCCCAGTCCAATTATTATCTCTCTATTTCTAAAGTATGTGCCATGAATCAATAATGGAGTCATGATTTATTTAAAATTAGGCCTTATTATTGCAAAGGGTACCTATATTTTCTGTGTGAAATACACGCTCAATGGAGGAAGGTGAACATGGCTTTCTTTTTTCTAGGGAAGAAACATCTCTCTGTTTGATGTTAGCCTGCCACAACCAAACAGAAGATTTAATTCAGGTATAGCTGACTGCAACGTTTTCTGCATACTACTTTTTACAGCTATAACACAGTGGCAATCCTTCTAAGGAATTCTCTTTCCCCGCTTTAAAAAACCTGCTATAATTGCACACACTCCATTACTGGTCTTAAGAACACCCAGCTCCAACAGCAGCTGACAGATCCAAGATGATCTTAGGAGAGTCAGCCTTTGCAGTATCAGCTCCAGGTTTGTATCACATTCAGAAAACACAAGCTAAGTAAAGTATGTTACATAGCTTATCTATCATGAAGATTTTAAGAGGAGCAAATACCACATTCCTTACTTGCTTCACAGTTCTTGGAAAATAGTTTTGCTGCTCATCTATCAAGGCAAGGGCATTGCTAGCCACACCAAAGCAGGGCAGGAGTGGAAGCATGTGTGGAGTAGTATAGGAAGCCATTACACTTCAACTCCATCATTACACAGGTATGTTGCTAGCAGGAGCACCTTCATCAATTACACCACTTATCATGGGAAGAAGTCTACTAGCTCTCAGCCATGGTTTGGTCCTTCTGCTCTAGTTACAGGTAATTTATTCCCCTGGAAATTTACTACTGCTGTTACTAGCTACTGTAAGTGTACATATCATTCTGCAATTGCACAACTACTTACTAACTTGCAGTAACTTTCTAAAAACTTTCTTTAGAAGCACAAGGTTTCAGGTAGTACTGTTTTAAACTATTTAATACAAACTTATTTAGAATATGTAAACCAATTTGCACTAACAAGCAATGCTCTCCAGAGAAATAGACAAGTTTAAGTTAAGCTTTGGTAATTGCAATTAAGTTATCAAAGAAGTAACTGCCATCTGTCAGAACATCTGCTTTGGTGTCTGCCACTCCAAACTCCAAGATGTGAAAACGCCACCAGAAGCCACAAATCTTGCTTTACCGTAAACAACATAGTCCGGTTTTCTGCAATGTCAGTTGGCTGCACAACGCTGTGTCCATAGATGAGTTGACTTTTTAGGTTCAGTGAAATTGCATCTTCTTCAAATGACCTGACAAAGCTGTTACTCCTAAGGCCTCCCTCTTGGAAATCCTTCTTAAAAGCAAAGGAACGAAGCCCAGGTTGAGAAAATGATTTCCTAATTGGCCTTTTTTCCTCCTCTTCATTGACCAAGGGCTGGAATACAGACCGCAATTTGCTGCTGAAAGAGAAGCCTCCAAAGTTGTTGGCAGTTTCATGTTGTTGTGATGATGAGTTGAAATCTGAATTTTTTGTACAACTTACACGGTTAAATTTCTCAATGCATTCATCTATGAGTGCTGGAGGTGCATTTTTATGTGCTACTGTTACCCGTCCACAGAACAGCACCTCAAACTTTTTGGCAAAAGGGTCTTCAACATCGGAGAGATTATTCTGAAACTCTTCTTGACGGGCAATTTTTCCAGCTTGTCGAATAGAGCTTATAATCTCAGGCACCTATAGGAGGGGAAAAAATACACATTAGCATTGGGTGCTTTATGACAAACAAATTGCAAAATTAAGAGGCTCCCTGTTGTGATTTTCCTGGAAGGATACTTTGATTTAGTTTCAAAAATAAAAGACCAGTTGAAGTGATCTTCTATTTATTCAAGAGACACATTATAGCAATTAAACAACACTGAGAAGAGGAATTTCTCATTTGTCTCCTTGCCAAGAGTTCACCACCATCAACACTTTGTCATGGACAAAGAGTTTTGTCCCTTGTAATGCTCTTCATTTTCATTAAAACTTTTGGCTGAAGCAACCAGTATAACATGACATTCCAACTCAAAACAAAAGACAGAAGTATTTCAGAAAGTACACAAGAAGCCATGGACTAATTAATAGGTAAAGTTATTTAATCTCTGTTATTTTTCACTCCCTTCTCTTACTCAAACACTCGTATCATGTAGATTAATCAGACTCCTGCAAATATGCTTTCCCCTTCAGAATAGCATATTACATTGTTATGGCAGTTTGGTGAGTTTTTAAAAAAAAGTAAATAGCTGTATTTTTAAAATAACTATATTCATTATTTTAGATGTTCATTTTTATTCTACTATCCTAAATGACACTCTTAAATAATATTACCTCACATACAGTATGACTGGAAGGGCATCTGTATGAGACAGCAGTCTGCTACGGATGACAGATGTTGTAATTAGAACCCAAACTGCCATGTGACACATTGTGAGTGACAGTAAACGGTCCCAGTTGCTGATACAGTTAGACAGTAGTGATATGCATATGCTCTCTGCTAAGCTGCTGTGAGGCAAACACTTGGTTACATCACACTGCTTTGACTGACCTAGGAGATTAAGGTTCTTCTTGCAGTCTGTGCTGCTCCTGCTGTAATGAAAAATGTGAAACCACCATCTATGATTATAACTGCTAATTCTGCCAGCTTTTTTACCAAAGTTACTTTGAAAAAAAACATGCAAAGTGCACTGATTTCCAGACAAGTATTTGGTTGCAGATAGTACAGAAAGAAGTCTAGGAGCAGCAGACTAAAATAGCAACCCAGAAGAACCCCCTCCCCTATGAGAAAAGGCATCCCAAAAACCTAGAGAATATTTTGGAGACACGGCCTCTCTTTTTTTTCAGACATTTTTATGGTTATCTATTGCTTAATCACTATGCAGCAATGTGCATAAACCAACTCAGGAAACAGCAAAGTACTTTGAGGGGAAAAACAAATTTGAACAGTGAAAATTGAATGAATATTTTGGGTGCGCATAAAGACCTCAATAGGATTTCTTTCATAGACAAGGAAACAAAGATAAAGATATGGATAGGTAGGTAGATAAAGAGAGAGAGAGAGAGAGAGAGAGAGAGAGATAGGCAGACAGCCAGATAGACAAATAGAGAGATATTCACACACATATAGCTAGTAGATTTAAAACAGTAAGTAACACATTACTAAACAGGAACTCAGGAAGCATTACTTCACCCTTCAGCGCAAGGCATGAGTCACCAGCTAATCATTCAGCACAGAAAATAGGGAAGAATGGGCAAGAAAAGCAGGGTCAGGAATTCATAAGTCTATTCTCTGATATGTCACAAACTAGTCAGAAAGCCTTGGGCTCAGGCAGCTTTGTGCCTAACTTCTTAATCATACACAAGAACATTAACGGTATAATAAATCTTTAGTACCTCAAACAATATGCATTTGCTCTACAGTGAGCTTATGGTCTACCTCAGTTTTATTTACTCAACACTCCTTCAAAGAAACAATTTTGACTGGCATAACATATCAGAATTACAGTAAAACATAAAACTTCATTCTACCCACATTTGAAGCTGCAACTGCTTTAGCAATTTTTAATAAACATGTTTTACTCTTGTGGGAGTGTCTGGACTCACCAGCCATAGGCAATTTTACCACTGAGCTGCCCAGGATACATGCAGAGACCAGCAAACCCACCTCCAGTTTTGCTGAGGCTGCAGAGGCAGTAGCAAAGGACAGAGGCATTTTGTGAACTCTGCTTACTTTGGTAAAGCCAGGAACATCAGCTCTCACCCACGCAAAGAGGGCCACTATCTCAACCCCAGCTAAGCTCCCCCAGCAACACACACAGTCAATAACTATAAGAACAATTTCCAGCAGTGCAGGTGCTGCAAGGGTTACAGCTGAGCTAAAGCCCTGACAAGGCATAAGGGATCAAGCACATATATCTAGTTAGTGAATTTAACTTCTTCAATGTTGTTTTGTTATCAAACACCTTGAACTTTGACAAAATAGCTATTCAACAGTGGCTATACTTTATATACAGACAGTGGTTAGGGAAAGACACTACATCACACAGAAGGACTTTGCAGTAGTTAATAAACTTTGTGTCTGAGGAGACCCAGCAGGCCTGTTGATGAAAAATCAAGGGGAGTATTTATTTATTTATTTTCACACATGCTAGGGCTTGAATCATGTCATTGATAAGTAACAGCTGGCTTCCGAGCTACACTTACTAAAAAACACAGACTCTTCTGTTCTCACTTACAGACCTAAAAAAAATTTTCAGCCTGCTAATAACATTTTATTACTTATGATTAGGCAATTGATGCAGCAGCAGAAGCAGGAAATCACCACCTCACTTTCCTGTGATGCTTATGTACGTTAAACATTTATCTATTTTCATTAATAAAGACAAGATCCATGATGAATGAAAAAAAAAACAAACTTATTTCCCTGGAACTACTCTTTGCCTGATCAAGATTTGTGCTCTTTTTATCTACCTGTACCACTCCAGACTTTTTATGCAAATATGGAAAACGAACAATCCACTCGTCCTCTGTATCCCCTGACACTGGTGCTCCAAGTAAACAGACCTGGATGCTGAGTAGACAAACATGAAGTAAACAGTAGTTAAAAATAAATATATTATAATTATTTCAGGTTATAGGCTCTATCTTGGCAAACCTTTATTAACCACAGCTGAAACATTTCCAGATTAAGCAGAATGCCACTGGGTGATCGGTAACCACATCTCTTGCAAACTTCCACAAATTAATTAGGATGTAAACAGAATCAGGTTTTATGGCTCTTCAATTTGTATCAAAAAGCAGCACGGATTAAGTTGCTCCTGAATTAAATTAATGTTGTTTGGAGTCTTTTAAAGGTTGTGGGCTCTTCATGAGCACAAGAAAAAAACTATTTTTTTAATTGCAAAGGTGGCCACAAGCCGGCATAATTTGCTCAGAGCAATTGCAGAGTCTCCATCCTTGTGGATATATGAACTCTGGACTGGGCTGAGCAGCCTGCTCTAGGTGACCATGCTTTGAGCAGGAGGCTGAACTAGATGACCTCCTGAGGGGCCACCCTACATCACCCTGGTGATATAGATACCAACTGCTTTTATTCATAACTTAGTAATTGTGCCTACTACTCTGAACCTGCTAAGACAGTGGGAGAAGACTGTTGCACACAGTTAGGATTTCTTCATGCCATGCAAATCCTCTTTTCTAGCATACTTCTATTCTTAGGTATTTTCTGACTTTTTTCTTAGTATAAATAAATAATTAGTGGATAAAGATTATTTCTGTAATCAGAAAAACCACTGCTGACCTAAAATTATTTCCCTAAAACCACAAAACTATGTGCAGAACATCAGTGTAAGCAACAATGAACCTTTATCAAACACGAGCATTACCTTCTTATCACTTCAGGCCAAACAAGCCTGCTGAACAGAAGACACAACTGAAATGTACCAAGGAAAAGGTTTTGTGTTTAGATTGTCTGAATTAGATACAGAAAAAGATCACGTATCTATAACCATTAAAAATAACACTGGACTTGTGGGCTTTTTAAAGTGTACCACATTATTTCCGCCACAATGAGAATATTTACTTTGCAGTGACAAAGCAGGGAACTGAAATGCTGAGTATTCTTGTGACTTGGCTTGTGGGTATTCAACCAAAATACAAACACCTAGGACTTCCTAACGCATGTAACTCAGTTACAAGACAAATAGCTATAGCTTCTATGCCATGCACCAAATCATGACAAGAGGCAGTAATTTTTAAGAATGCACGGGTTTGCTGCATCTGAGAACAAAGAACAGCTCTTCCCCCTCACATAAATTGCAGCCGCAATTTACCCCTTGAAACTAGCGGTCACCCTGTAAGTTTACAAGCATGTAAGAGGTCAAGGTCTTTATCCTGTCAGTAGATTTAAGAAAGAGTTAGAAACTATTTAAAATAAAAGAGCCCAGTAACAGCTGAATGCAACAGCTGACTTTCGGTAAGCAAGACTAAACTAAAAAAAGATTCCTTGTTTCTTTTATACATAGTAGCTAAGAAAGCAAAATGTGTCGCAGGAAAAGAACTGCTACCACATCAGCTGGGAGGACAAGGTGAAATAAGAAAAAAGGGGGATAATTTATTATTCTATTATGCAATGTTTACACCTGCAGCACAAATCTACCTGTTTATACCTACCAGTCTCTGCATACGGCTTAAGGTCAGTGAAGGGCTCAAGCACTGTCTTAACGATTTCAAGGACATAGGGGGTTTTGTTTAACCTAAGACAGACCTGTGCTGACAGGAATTGGTCTTATGCAACAGACTCCAGAAATTGCTGGAGACTGAAAAACACTAGGGTCAGATTCTTAGGCTGAACCTCAGAAGGCCTCACACCACCCCAGCTAGAACAAAGACTTGAAAATCTTTCAAAAACTCTTGAAACAAGTAGATGTTTTGATTGAATTTTGCTAGCTTACTCAAGCGAGAGAGGACATCTGAATTATTTTAAAGTGCTTTTACTTGTTTTTTCTCCCTGATCAATAGAGCAGGCTCAATAAAATATGTCAAGAAATCTAATACTGCCTGCTGTTAGTATCTTTCCTCCTTTATTTTAGTAGAGTACTGCTACAGATAAGATAGGGTACACAGCTATTTAACCGTGGGAGAAGCTATCTAGTCAGGACAGATAGCAATATTTTTGTCATCCATAAGTTATTTACAGT